AGGAAAGCACCCAGATCTCCTCCCCCAGGTGACTGGATGAACAGGCTGTGGTGCATCCATCCAGTGGAACACCACTCAGCAATAAAGAGAAACGACCTGTGATACACACAACCACCTAGATGAATCTGAGACATTCTGCTGATTTCGAGAAGTTTTAGAAGGTGACATGCCATATGATTCCATCTACATTACGTTTTTGAAAAGACAAAAATGTAGTGATAGAGAACAGATTAGTGGTTGCCAGGGGTTATGGGTAGGTTGAAGGTGTGACACAGTGAAAGGACAGCACGAGGGAGTCTTGTGGGGTGAAGGAGCTGTCTTGTGCCCTGCCTGGGGCTATGCAGATCTCCACATGCCTGCGTGAAAAGTCATAGAACTGTACACCAAAGGAAAACAGCCAATTTTACTGTTTGATAAGACAAAGGGCTAACAGACGTATTCAAGGGGGCAGTGCAGGAGGGAGAAAAGGTCTCACAGGGGAGCCTAGTGAGGCCCCCAAGTCTTATCCTGTGGGCTTGTGTGGGTGCAAAACAAGGTCTTTCTAGTATGACAGCAACAGACACAGAACCCGCCTGGGTGAGAAGGCAACGACCAGGTGGTGGAACCCTTCCAGCATCAGAGTGCAAGTTAGTGGAGAGCCTGTGTACCCTGGGCAGCCAGCTTCCAGGGGGCACACTCCCCAAAGTCTTTGGCCAAAGTTCCTCTGGCAAGATGTTGAAATGGCCTGTGAAGAGGGTATGTCAGGATGAGGTGGGGCAAGTGTGCCTGAGGTGGCAGCACTGCCCTGTTTCCCTCCAGGGCTGGTGATGTGATGCTGGCAGAGCCAGCGTGGGCTGAGTAAGATCATACCTGAGTGAAGAGCAGTTGCCAGGCTTGTCACCCCAAGAGTGACCCATGCCAGGGCACTTCCTGGCCTGGCAGCAGGTCCCCTGGTAAACGCACTGTGTACTCTTCCCCATGCTGCCCTCACAGCAGTCCTCATTTGTGCTGTCTTACTCACAGAGATCAGCAAGGGGTTGGCTATGCCTACCTCAGATGCTGGGGTGCAAACTAGAGAGACATTTCTTCTCTGCTCCTGCCCTCAGGTCGTGTGTGTCCCCCTGTGGATTCTCATGTCCTTTCTGTGCCTGGTGGTCCTCTATTACATTGTGTGGTCCGTCCTGTTCCTGCGCTCCATGGATGTGATTGCAGAACAGCGAAGGACACACATAACAATGGCACTGAGCTGGATGACCATTGTTGTGCCTCTCCTTACTTTTGAGGTAAGTTTTCGACAGCAGAACTCTTCAAACCCTGCTGCCCTGTGACAGCACCCTATACCGGCAGCCCACTCTCCCAGGAAGTCACTGTATGCCAGCTCTTGGAGAGTGTGCCGAGAGAGAATGAGAGGAAAATTAGAACATCCTTTCCTTTGGGGGGCCGGGGGCTGGCAGGGGGAAGTGCACCTTTCTAGCCATCTGTATGTATCAGGTTTTCTGCTTCTAGAAAGAGAAAGTTGGATGTTGTATTTTCATATTTTACTTCTGTGGAGAATTACAGAAGAGGCCCCATTGACCCCTCCAGGCGAACACCAGGAGGAGTTCCCCGTACAGTCCTGGCACTGAAAATTTCCAGGTGGACAGATTTTGTTTAGTCCTGAGGGAGGATGTCAAAGCTTGTCCCCTCCTTTCCCTAGAACAGAGGGTTTCTGTAGTGTCCTGTGGAGCTGACTTGCCCCCTTATGAGACCTGACGAGGGAGGGGTGGTCTGGCTTCAGACATTGTTTGTTTTCAGGTGCTGCATCAGCAGAACCTCTGACTGTTTCTTTTCCTTTAGATCCTGCTGGTTCACAAACTGGATGGCCACAATGCATTCTCTTGTATTCCAATATTTGTCCCTCTTTGGCTTTCTTTGATCACTCTGATGGCAACCACATTCGGACAGAAGGGAGGGAACCACTGTATGTACTCAGCATTTCAGAAGCCCTTGGTCTGTGTGTGTGTGTGTGTGTATTTGTGCTTGTCTGTGTGCGTGTGTGCATGTGGCCTCACTCTGTGAAAGGATGAGCCAGAGGGCCACAATTGAGGAGTTTGCATTGGAAAGCTAAAGCTGAGGAAGGTCTGGAATCTTCCAAAGGAAGGGCATGCTGTCAACCTTGCTTCCCCTGCCCTGTACCACAGCCTCCCTAGTGGTGCACTGTGTGATTTGAGGTGGGACTGACCATGGCAGGTAGCCTCTCTGAGCCCCATGGGGATCCACTTTCCTGAGAGCTCCTGAGGATTAGATGAAAATCCACATCACCTCCCAAACCCTGGCAGTCCTCCTAGGTTCTGTTTCCTCCTCTCTCTACCCAGTGTCATTCCTGATGTCACCAAGTGTTATCAGTGGCACCCTGCTTGCTCTCTCTTCCTCCCCACCTGCATGCTGTTATATACCCAGTTTTGAAGCGATCTTTGACAAGGGTCCCTTCCGCACTAGCCTATGAGCTCCTTTGCATATAGCCCCAGAGCATGCCCTTGGAACTCCATGGGATGGGGGGTCTGTGCCCCCAGAGAGCCAGCACTGAGCTGGCGGTCCCATGGTACACAGAGAGGAAGAGTCGGCCTTGGAGAAGTAGCTTTGAGGAGGCCCCAGAAACTCAGGCTGCCTCCTGGCCTGGACCAACATCTGTCTGCCATCCCCCTGGATTCCAGAGGATGACAGAAATCCTTTTCTTGGATGAGATTCTTTGTCGTACATGAGTTTATCCCAAGTGGGGAAGATTAGAGGATGTTGACATAGTGCAGACATTGCAGGTATTTGAGACTCACACAGCAATAGTTCTCAAACTGGAGCACCCATGAGAATCCCTGGGAGGGCCTGTGTGCAGGCGGACTGCCCACCCCACCCACAGTTGCTGATTCACGGAGGTCTGGGCCAGGGCCGAGATTGCATCCCCAACAAGGCCCCAGGGATACAAACTGGTCGCTGCCAGTCTGGGAACCCCACTTGGAGAACCACAGAGCCACAGGTCTTACTTCTTGCCCTTAGTGGGTATTTAGGCCTTGCTCAGTCTCCATTCCTGAGACATCAGGGTAAAGCATTACATTGTTCAAGTAAAACTTACTCAGGAAAGAAAAGTAACATGAAATTCAGTGGAGGCTAGTGTTTAATAAGTACATTCTTCTTTTTCAGGGTGGTTTGGTATTCGCAAGGATTTCTGTCAGTTTCTGCTTGAAATATTCCCGTTTTTGAGAGAATACGGAAATATTTCCTATGACCTCCATCATGAAGATAATGAGGAAACCGAAGAAACTCCAGTTCCAGAACCTCCGAAAATCGCTCCTATGTTTCGAAAGAAGACCAGGGTAGTTATCACCCAGAGTCCTGGAAAGTATGTCCTCCCCCCTCCTAAATTAAATATTGAAATGCCGGATTAGATGCCATTTCCTGGGACAGAACGTAAGTGGACTGGGACACATGCTCTCTTCTACCTTCCTCTGCCTCTTTGTTCACCCCCCCCCCCCCCCCGAACTGGAACTGGAGCTGGGTCTCCAGGAACTTCCATCTCATGCCTTGTTTGCACTCAATGCCTACCAGTGACTCACCACGACGGGACACACAGGTGGCAGGTGACTGGAACATGCGGTGTGGTATGGGGTGTCTGTCAGTGGATGTGGATGTGATGGAGGGAATGTGTGTGTGAGAGGGAGAAAACCATCTCCCTCTAGGAGGGTGGCTGAGGAGCGGGCTTGGATGCACAGAGGACGGCTGATTACGCCAGAGAAGGAACGTCTGCGTGGCTGGCTTTCACAGTGCTAAAATCCCATCAAAAGTGTTATTTGAAAATGTATTTTTAAACCAGGCCGGCCTCGCTGTGCACCTCAGATTCTCCTGTTGTGGCATAGTCAGTAGGAACTGTACATACACCTCTCTGGCACCACGTGTGTATCCACGCCGTCATTACTGTCTGTGTTCCTGCTGTGGAAGTAGTTTCTCCTTGGGCATGCTGACAGCAGTTTTTAATGGCCCCGTTGGTGAGCCCTTTCTAATGAAGTGACTCCGTGCCTGTATAGTATTTATATGAATATTTTAGCATTGTAATATACCGTGTTAAATCCTAGTTCTGTACAGTATATTCTGTTAAAGTATTTTTTTACAAGCTTGTACTAGAGACATACGTGTTCTGTTGCAGAAGTCGAAGCCGGTGGCACACCTGTCCTGCCCACTGGGGTGCCACCCATTAAGGGGACATCACCATTCCCCCTTGAATTTCTCCACATACATAGTAGCTGCTACTGCCAGAACAGCCACAATAAGCAAGAAATGGTTTGTGCTTTTGTAACATTCTGGGAATATTGACTTGCAAGAAATCTATAAAGCACGACTTGAAACTGGAACACTGGAGAAAGTTGCCAAGACTAGAAACAGCCAGCAGAATTGTATGTATGTTAAGGTCCGAGGCTTTCTTCCACCAACAAGAACGCATCCAGCTGGGCGCATGCCTTTATCTAGGAGTACAGTTGCTCCAAGAGCTGGTGGTACAGCCCTGAGGCAGAGCAGAAGAAAGCAGATCCTACAGGATAAGAGCCTTCTGCCTGGGAACAAGTAGCCCATTTTTTAACAGAGGATGAAAGGAACATTGACACTCCCACCCAGGAGAAGAGTGGAGGGTTTAAAGCAGGCAGCTGTTAACTTGTCTAAACCAAGCTCAGCTGACATCCACCCGTCCATGACACCACCCTGGCAGTGGCCCCCAGCAAGCCTGTTCTCTCTGGGGGAGAGGGGGGACATATGGAACGGTGTAGCCTTTCCTGCTTGGTGTGTAACAAATGTAGCTCAATCCACTATTTTTGCTCCCTTTACCTGTTCAATAAACCGGTTCCTCATTTTTCATGTGCACTGTGTGGCTCTTGCTTTAGATACAATCAGGACCCTGGAATTGTTCTCAACCAGCAAGAAAGGAAACCTCTAGCTGCCATGGGTGGCCGAGGCGAGCAAGGCTGGGGAAACATCTCTAATGAGTCTTCAGGTAGAGCTAGAACATACAGCAGAGAGAGGGAAAGGGGTGTCACGGAGAGTCTACGTTGGCTGGGGACGCTGTTTTGCACTTGTCACAGCTTAGGAGCCTTTCGAGAGTGTTCTCAGGTTCCAAGATGGTCTAAATCCCAAAGTGACCTTTTAGTGGTCCTGAGGCATTCCCCAGTGACATCAGTGGCTGCGTATTGCTTACATCTAAATAAAATACTCTGTGATTTCTGTGTAGCTTGCCCTAGCTGTTTCTACGTTTTCAAGGGCACTTAACTCAGGTGGCATTTCAGCCCATGGTTTGCAGCAATTGACAAGGAAGTCTGACACTTGCTGCTGATGGAATGATTTCCTGCAGGCAGTCAAAGGCCACAGATGGGTCGTTTCTTAAGCTCATTAGATTTCAGACTTGCCGTTAGACAAACACCCTTTTCAATAACCACAGTAGCTATGACTTAAGTGTCAGGTACCTTGCTACCTGCTGCATGTCCCATTGAAGACTCAGGACCCTGTGAAGCAGGTGCTCTTACCCCCATGAGGAAACAGAGGCCCAGAGAGGTTGAGTAACGGGCCCAAAGTCACACAGCTGGGTAATGGCAGGACCGAAATGCCAATGTGGGCAGTCTGCACACAGAGCCTCTGCTCTCACCCACTGGGCCAGAGTGCCTGGGCCCTGGGCTGATAACGCCTCAAGTTTGGAGGCATTTCTGGTTCATGGAAACCTCTGGAAGATCATGGAGCTCCATGCCAAGGATAGAGTAGGGGATGTTGGTGGAGGTGGCCTTGCATGTGGGGAGAATGTGCTCGAGAGGCTGCTCTGCATGACCACCTCTTACTGATTGTCCCAGCACTACACCCCAAAGAAGGATTGCAGAGCTCAAACCCTGGGCACAAACCAGGATGGGTGTCCCTGTAGACGTCGGTCAAGGAAAGTAAGCCGTGGGTGAGGCCAGTGGCTAATACCCTGACACGGCATGCCCGGGAAGGCAGATGGTGTATAACGGGTCTGTCTGTGCGGTGAGGGGCATGGGTCCAGGCTGAGGAGAGGCAGGAAGAAGGCTGCCTTCTCCTCCGCATCAATCTGCCAGGTGGTGGTGGGTCACCTAGCTAACCCATTCACCCAAGCAGCAACCTGCCATGTGCCTTCTGGTGACCAACGGCATGGCCACGTTAGGGTCTCTGAGGAGGACCTGGCTGTGACAGCATGAAAAGGATGATGTGACGGTGCCCTTGACCATGGATGCCCGTCCTGGACTTTGCTGAGTGCTTAAAAGCACAAATCCGTCTTATTCAGAGCCCTCAAGGCCAATGGACTCCGAGAATGAGCTCTGACCTTCTCTAGTTGGTACGCGAGTGTAGGTCTGCAAACCCCAGGAGGCTGAGGACAAGAGAACTCATGGTTTGCACTGAATGTTTGGCTTGTTACTTTAAACCCATATACGAGTGTCCACTTTCGCAGTGAGATGACTGTGTGTGGACCAGAATGTTGGTGTGCTCACAGGTCATTGTGGGGCCTGGCTCTATATTAGGTCCCTTGCTGGTTATGTTGTGATGTCACCCCAAGAAGCATGAGCCCCTTTGTGATGTCCTGAGCTGCAATGTTATCAAGGGGCACTGCTGGCCACGCTGCCCTCTCATGTGCACATGACGGAAGGACATGCCGCCACTTAGTACAGCTAGAGAGGAGAAAAGTCATCCAACAGGCCAGGGGCCCGACATCGGGATGACGCCTTTTCCTCCAGAAACAAGGGCTCCCGCAATTGGCTCAGAGAGCTACGCTCCTCCAGTAGATGTCTCACTCACCCTGACCCAGCTGGTGTCAGCTGGGCACCCTGACTTCAGGCTGCTGCTTGAAGAAATTGCTTTCCAAGCTTTGCACGAAGAGCCTTGGTTCAAAAGGCCTTGCACGCCTGTGATGCCCTATCAGGGGAGAAGGCAGTCTCCTCTCTCTGCTCTTTCCTGAGAAGCTGGACAGTCGTCCACAGCAATCAGTTTGCATCAACTTGGTGGGCCGCTGGTGGGACGTGCATAGGTATCGATGAGAAACTGTTTCGAAAGGAGATTTTGGAGAGAGATGGCCCAAACAAAGTGTTTGAAACAGACCGTATGAAGAGTTTCATCTGTCAGATTAACCTCTAAGGACCCAGCAAAATGCATCAGGACATTCACACGTCCATCTGCTTTACCCATTTTTTCACCCAGGAGAGAACCGTCTACGTCCTGAGCCAGGCAACTGCCGACAAACCACCCAAGGGGCTGAGCCGCTGGGCTCTGGGATGGCGGGGTCGGGTCAGGTGGAAATCCCAGGACTGCCTCTTGGGAATTGGGTGCCCATTTCCCCTCCTGGTGGTGGTGATGTTGACTAAGAGGGCTCCAAATGGTGCCCAGTGTGTCGGGAGTGCTTTATTAAGAGACACACGACTTAATGGACAACATGATGACTACAGTTCACATTGCTGTAGGGCGTATGCGAAAGCTGGTAAGAGTAGATCCCAAGAGTTCTCCTCACAAGGAAAAAACTTTTCTTCTTCCTTTTTTTGTATCTGTATGAGATGATGGATGCTAACTAAACTTCCTGTGGTAATCATTTCACAATACATGTAAGTCAAGTCGTTATACTGTGCACCTGAAACTTAGACAGTGCTCTGTGTCAATTATAGCTCAATAAAACTGGAGAAAAAAGATGATACTGTTGAGACACTGTATCTTCCTGTCCTCCTGCTTGGAGACCAATGTCACTGGGGGGTTTGTGTGCACCCATGACTCCCATAGCTCGAACCTGTAACGTAGTGGGTGTCCAGGCCCCTTCCTGTGAAATAGCAGTGACCCCTGGCTTGTCCTGGGGAAGTGCTAGCCCCAAAGCACTTTTTGAAGACTGTTGAAGGTTGACTTGATGGGCGTACTTCCCGAGGTCAGCGGGCCACTGGCGGCCAAGGGCCAGTGGCTCCCAGCAAAGGGGTGATTCTGTTGCCAGCTGACACTTCTTTATAGAGCTGCCGAATCTTCTTCTCTCCCCATGTGCAAACTCCAGGTTGGCCCTGTGTAGTCATTTTCTGAGGGTGAAATGCCAGTCATAAGTTCGTGAATCTTGAGCATGTCAAAGCTAGTGCACGGCTTCCTGTCGGGATGGTGGCCTCCTGCAAAGAGGGCTCAGGACTGCTGGACTAGATCGCATAGGGGCCTGGATTGCCGTTGCTAGTTGCGATCAACTCCTTTGTGACTTGGAGTTTCTCTTTCTCTTTAAATGTTGAACCTCAGTTCCGGTTCGACTACAGTCCCTCGTTTAGGAGAGACTGCCCTCACCTTCTCGTGAGGGTGAAGAGGCGAGCAGGTATTAAACCTGCACCGAGGCTGATGGAGAGCAAGCCCAAAGCCCTGAGGATTCCTCAGCACCTACAGCCACTGAGCCACAAGACGACCTCCCAGACTCTAAGGAGCACAACCAGGAGACTCCGATCGACTGAGAACTTGACAACCCTACCTCTCAGGTCAGGAGTGACTCTGCCCTTCCAGCCACTCTTGGGACGGCAGCCAAGCCCACCGTGACAGATCCCAATGTTGCCATAGACCAGCCGGGCCGAGGCCAGCCTGAGGGCACCCAGGCTCCCGTCGTTCTCATGGCAGACATCGCCATGCCGGGTGAGTGCCCCTGGTCTGTTTCACCTTGCCTTCCATCTGGATGAATTTCTGTGGGCCTGTGGTGGCCTTGCAGCCATGCCTCCTGGGTTCCTCATTGTGCCAACCACGCAGCTCCCTGTGGCCGGATGGCTGCCTTTGTGCCACCCCTGGATGCCCGTCGTGGCTGCTGCACCTGCCACCCCCGTGATTGTGACTCCTCATCCCCCGAGTCTGTTCCACTGCTGTCCCGACTGCCATTGTTTCCCAGAATACCTGCCACCTGCTGACAGTCCCCCAGAGTACCCAGACCATGCAGACTACAACAGATAAAGGCAGTCATTTTGTCACAAATGTGCAGGTCAATAAAAAGTATGAGGGAATGAGCAACTTTCTGCTGAACAAAAGCGTTCGTCGCCTCTGTCATGTTTCTTTCTTGGCAGTTGAGGACTGCTCGGATATTCTCTGCTGGCATGGGAAAGAACTGAACGTCCCACCACTCCTGGCATAAGGCAGGCACCTAGGAGACACTCACGTGAGCCCCTCAGACACTTTTCATCCACTTTGAAGTGCTTGACAAGTACAAGAACCAAGCGTCGGTGGCCTAATGATCACAATGGCACTGCTTTCCTGGCCGTCCAGACACAACTTTCTGTCATGTCGGTGCCTTTGTCGAAGAGGATCTTCATCTCACAGAGGAGAAGAGATCCAGTCTCACCTTGTAAGAGGACTAACAAGTGCCCTCACTGTTCTGTGACAAGCAGACATGGAGCAGACAGTCACGGCCAGACTCCCACAGGTGTCACCTTAGAGGGGGCTCCTCAGCGTCTGCACCACAGGATCAACAATCGGCTTTTACTGCACGTACTGGATCTGGTGACTTCTCGGTTTTTCTTCCCTTTTGTTTGTTTTTTTTCCTTCTTTCTTTTTTGAGTTAAACATTTCAAGGGTGTCATGTTTCAATTTAGGGAGAAACCTCTGGTTGCTGGAGTGTGGGCTCATAATACATGCCCTTGTCGATGAGCCTCTTTAAAGAGTGTTTGTCTTCGGGAGCATAAGAAATACACTTCCATGTTCTTGCTGTAGAAATAATCGGGTGTAGACACCAGAAGAGCTCTGAAATCAGGTGGAGGGGAAAGTGCAAATGGCGATCCAGCAGGACCAAAAGACACCGCTCCCCCCTCCTTGTTTTGATCTGACAGCAGGTAGACAGTCCCGTGAGGAGGGGGAAGCCTGGTAAGAGAATGCACACGTGGCAGTGGAGCTCAGGAGGACTGGCATCCTGGGTCTAGCTCTGGTCTGCGGTGATTCTCCCTGCCCCACCCTGCTCACTGAGAAATCCACACTCACACATGGGTGCTCATCCCCTTTCCAACATTCGTTCATTTGGGACTCCTTGGCTTTTAAGAAGTACCTTTTTCATCTTTACCTTGGACTTCCATGGGTCTCCTGATCTTCAATCACACGGAGATGCTGCTGTCTAAGAGCCACTTACCTATAAAGTTAGGCCCATGTGAGACTTGCTTACATGTAAGTCTACATAGAAAGGGGCAGATGTGCAGGATTGTACTGTTGAATTATCTGCCTTTCGAAAAGGGCATGGTTTTATTTACAAAATCTGGACGGCATGATGTCAGTAACAGACCAGTTCCGTACTTCATTCCTACGGCTTACTCATGTCTAGATTGTGAACCTCACATCTGTTAACTGTTAACTGAAACTGGCTGACCTTGAGGCCTTCTGGGCTAGGGCAGAGGCAGCATTCTAAGCTCACCCACAAGTCAAGGGACCCTGAAAGGCTTTCATGGGCTGGGCCATGACAGCCAAATAAAGTCTTGAAATCAACTCGTGCTAAGGGGACCAGAGGAAGGACCAGGCTGGTCCAGAGCCCTGGATTTTACTTTTGTTCCCAGGGCATCACAGGTGACAGTGTCTAGGAAAGTGAAAATGCAGTTCAACCAGAAAGGGTTGCCGAGAGTGGGCTGCATAGAATGTGCTCCAAAGTACATAAAATGTGACATCTGATGCGTAAAGTCGAAGAGCCAGATGATTTTGGTGATGGCAGACTCACTTCCCACAAGGCATTGCCCAAGCCTCCTCTAGCTCAGGGGTCAGCTCTGTTCCCCAGTGCACCCCCACCATCTCCTCTAGGTTCCTTTTTTCTCAGTCCCTTCTTGGGTGAAGTTGTCTACAGCCAAACCATGACCGGAGGGAGGGTGGAAGTGTCAGAGGCTTTAACCCACTGAATGACCAACCCCAGGAAAAAGAAACACTGTCATTATCTGTCCTGTAGTGCATCTTCTGGAAATGTGCACACCTCCTTCTGCCTGTGTGCCCGTTAGGGATGGGGACAATTATGTCCACAGTCATTGTGATGGTCGTCATATGAAACAGGGGACACCCATGCCATAGGGACCACCCGGGTGCTCTGAGTCACTGCCCCAAAGATGGATATTGGTGGTCACGTGGTTATAGAGCAGTGGAGGGAGCAGCGATTTGTGAGAGAGCTTTCTTAGGAGAGCTGAAAACTGGTTCCCCAGTAAAGCCATAGAAATTCCCACATAAGTCCCCAAGGAGAGTGCTACTCACCTAGGGTGATCCCCCTCCTGGGGACATGTGTCAAGGTCTGGACATAGTTTTGGTTGTCCCGACTAGGGAGGTGGGGAGGGAATGCTACTGACATCTGGAGGGCAGAACCCAGGGATGCTGGTAAATGGGCTCCAGTGCCCAGGACAGCCCCCATGCAAAGCATGAGCCAGCCCCCGATGCCCACGGTGCCACTGTGCAGAGCCCCTGTCCTAGAACGCCACTCGCATGTCCTCATCTCTCAACCTAGCTCCTCATCCTTCCACCAGATCCAGGTCACGAGGCCTCAGTTTCCAGGCAGGATCAAGGGAAAAGCATTCATGCTCCCCTTCCATAGAAACACGAGTTGAAATGTCCGGGTAAACACGATGACCGTTCAGGCAAAAATGTGACAAGTTCAGGTGTCCGGGGTGGTAGAATCAATGGCACTAATAGGGACTTTATTTCAGGGAAGTATTGGGGCTCTTTAAGGCACAGGCTGACAGCACATGAACATTTGAAAGACCCCTCAGCTCTTAGGAAACAGCTAAATGGCAGGTGGCAAGGAAACATTAGTTTCTTTGTTCTTAGCTAAATTTCCTAAATGCTTAGATTCTTCTCTTAAATTCTTCAACTCTTAAATTCTCAGTTCCTCAGCTAAATTTAAAAAACGAGTTGACAGTACAACAACGTCAAGCATTTGGAGCACACTGGGCCTAGCTTGTGGTGACTGACACTCGCCAGTGTTCGGGTGAGTGAGCTCTCTGTGGAGGACAACTGTTGCGGGGTTGGTGTGAACCTTTACGAGGGTCTCGTCCACGTCCACAACCAAGCAGAGTCTCTCTGGCCTGGAGACAAGGTGCAGAGACAGGCCCCAGTTTACCACCTTTAGACTGCAGGAGAACCTCAGCCATGGGCAGAGGAGGGGGCCCACATTGCCAGTGACAGATCTCCCAGATGGGGCCTTGGAGGTCTGGGCCAGTGTGCTCGCCCCCGGACCCCGTGCAAACCCCCCAGCGGGGGAGCCTCTTCCCACAGAGTGGTCCTGGCGAAGTCTGAGCTGCTCTTCGGGAGCACCCCAACTGCTCAAGCACCTCTAACATCCGTGCTGGTGCTGGGATCCTGCAAGGAGAGCTGGGGACCAGGCCATTGCAGGGACAGGAGTCACAGGGCTCAGCCGGGCCCCAGGTGAATCTCACTGCTAGCCTCCCAGGAGCCCCGGTGAAGGGGTGCAGCGCAGCCACGTGCCCACCTCCTAGGCCTCTCTCCTCCCCTCTGACAGGGGCGTTTAGAACCAGGCCACTCCCGTGTTCTTGCATCCCCCGAGAGCACCTCGTGCCATCATGTACAGACAGGGCCAGGGAAATAGTCTCGCCAGACTACTAGGGAGGAAAGGCCCCAGGGGATTTGTCCTCTCACCCTCCCAAGTGCAGCGGGAGACTCAAGGCTCGGCGTCATGTGTTCTTGCTGACAGAGGCTTATGCAAGTTGAGACTGCCTACGTTCTCATCCTTCCTCCTGACCACCTGTTCACATATTAGTACCCTCCCTTCCTGCCTCAGTGAGTGTGAGGAGCACAAGTGAGGCAGAAGGCACCAGGGTGATACAAACGGGAAGAATTTTCCCCCACGACAGATGTGGGAGCCTGGGCTGAAGCCCTGCTGGGCCCTGGGCCAGAGCAAGAAGTTTGTTTTGGAATCTTTAAGTAGCACGTCTGTCGACAGCGGCCCCCTATTCCACCCTGAAGGGGAGGCTTCTGTCCAGCCAATTGAAGCTGGTATTGTCAGCCTCTCGGATCCTCAGTAGACAGGCAAATACCACGTCACCTCACTGGCCTTCCTGGGTAGGGCAGCAGTGAATACTCACTAGGATAGCTGACACTTAAGCCTGTGACAGCTGAAACTTGTCAGTTTTACCTTTTTCATAGGCACGCTTCTGAGACCTTGACACACCTTCTTGCTGTCAAAAAGAGGAGCATCTGTACACCACGTCCTCACTCCTTATTGACCTGGGACCTGCACAACAAATGCTCACTTTGCTGTGGGTGATGATGGTTCAGGGATCCCCTCAGCAGCCACTGAGACACATCAGCATGCTGCCCTGATCGTCAGCCCAGGGTGCTAGACCCTTCCATCAGCTGCTGCCACGCTTCCCTCAGTGGCTGGCTGTTCTCATACAGGATGCAGCGTGGCCTCTGAGCTCCCAGCACATCGTCTACACAGAATTGACTGACTAAGCTGTCACTGTTCGATGGGGACGTTCTGGAAATGCACTGGGTCCCAGCTAGGGGTGACACTCCTAAGCCTGTGCTGAAATTAATAAAAGGAACCTTAACTAAAGTGGAGTCAGGAACACCTGAATGGGGAGCTCTCACACCCTATCGTACATCCTCAATTACACCAAACAAGAAGAGACATCTGGCTTGCATCTCGGACAGGAAGTAAAGCTACTTTACTACTGAAGGAAGATTTCTCTCCCCACCCAGCAACAGCCCAGCCAATGAGAAATGCTGCAGCTCAGCCAATGAGAAGCCATTGCCGCCCTGAACTATTAAGTTCCCCCAATTGACTTTCCTTTGCGAAACCCTCCCCTGCTTTTTCTCTATAAAAGCAGCTCCCCTCCTTGGTTTTCCCGACGTGCCTATGGTTCCCCATGGCATGCCCTTCCTGAATTGCAATTCTTTTGGCTATTTCCGAATAAACTCTGTTTGAGATAAAATAACAGGTGAGTTTGCTTCTGAAGTCGACACCTGCCTGCTCCATGAGGACAGTGAGCAGCAGAATCGCTGCACAGAGGTTGAAAGGGCACTGAAGGAGAGGATGCACCAACAACTGACAACGCACTGCCTCCCGAGTGCAGAGGGGGAGGGGGAGAGCTGGCCAGGACTCCTTGGCCTTCACCGGGATACGGTGACAGTTGGGCCAGTCACAAACACTGCTACGGAGGGCATGGGAGGAGGCGGGAGAGTTGAGCTGAGGTGCAAGGATTGATACCACCACCTCCAGCCAGAGGAGCCCCACGTCTCCCCTGGTGAGGGCTCGTCACATCTGCACCCCTGTTGGTCAGAATCCAATAGCTGGTGGAGGTCAGGGGGATCTCTTGAGCACCTGAACAACAGAGCCCCAAAATGAATGATCCCAAAACAGACAGAACTGGAGGAAGAAACCGACAGTTCTACAATAAAAGTTGGAGACTTCCAAATCCCATGTGATGGACTGAATTGTGTGTCCTCTTCCAAATTCACATGTTGCGGCCCTAACCCCTGATGTGACAGTATCTGGAGACAGGGCCCTTAGGGAGGTAGCAAAGGTTAAATGAGGTCATAAGGGTGGGACCGTGATCTGACATTACCGTTGTCCTTATAAGAAGAGGAAGAGACACCAGAGATCTCTCTCTCTCCACCCACGCTCAGAAAAGAGGCCATGTGAGAGACAGAACAAGAAGGTGGCTATCTGGAAGCCAGGAGGAGAGGCCTTCCCTCACCAGAAACTGAATTTTCTGACACGGTGATCTTGGACTTCCGGCCTCCAGAACTGTGAGACAACACCTTTCTGTTGTGTTAGCCGTGCAGTCTGCGGTATTTCATCACGGCAGCCCTAGCAGACTAACACGCCCTGCTTTAAATAATGGATAGAACAACTAGACGGAAGCGCAGTAAGGGAATCGGAGACTTGAACACCAGTATACAACAATTAGATCTAATGATATCTATAGAGAACTCTCCCCAACAGCAGAACGAACATGCTTCTCAAGTGCACCTAGGATTTTCCCCAGGATAGTGCACATGCTAGACCACAAAACATCCCTCCATAAATTAAGAGGATTCGAAAGGAGTGAAATCATACAAAGCATGTTCTCTGGCCAAAATGGAATGAAATTAGACATCAATAATGGAAGGAAATGTGGGAAATCTGCAAATAGATGGAAACCGAGCAGTGCATCCCTAAAGAAGTGTATTAGCCTGCGAGGGCTGCCACAACAAAACACCACACACTGAGTGGCTTCAACAACAGACATTCATTCTCTCACACTTCTGGGGGCTGGGAGTCCGAGACCGAGGGCCCGGCAGGCTTGGGTTCTTCGTGGCTTCTCTCCTTGGTCTGCAGGTGGCTGCCCCCTCACTGTGTTCTCACATGGTCACCCCTCTGTGCATGCATGCCCTGCCCTAGCTGCCCCCTTTTATACGTCCCAATCTGCTCTCCTTATAAGGACACCAGTCATACTGGATTAGAGCTCATCCTAAGGGCTTCATTGTACCTTAATTACCACTTTAAAGGCCCGAACTCCAGCAACAGTCACTTTCTGAAGTACCTGGGCTTAGGAATTCAGCATATGGATTTGGGGGGACACAGTTCATTCCATAAGAATAACCAGTGCATCACACAAGAAATCAAAGGGAAACTAGAAAATGCTATGGAATGAACAGAAACAAAAACACATACCGAACATGACAAAGCTTATGGGATGCAGCAAAAGCAGCACTCAGAAATTTAGGGCTGTAAAGACCTACATTCAAAGAGAAGAAGGATCTCCAATCAATAACCTAACCTTCCACATTTGCAAACTAGCAAAAGAGCAAAGCAAACCCAAAGCAAGCACAAAGGAAAGGAAACAAGAGTTGGAGTGGAAATAAATGAAATAGAGAACAGAAAAACAACAGAGAAAAAGGATGCAACCAAGTTTCTTCTTTGCAAAGATCAAGAAAAGTGACAAACCTTTAGCTAGACTCGCCAAGAAAAAAGAGAGAAGACGAAACTTACTAAAAATCCTTCAGAAAGGCTACATAGTGCATGATTCCATTTATATGACATTCTGGAAAAGGCAAGATTACAGAAATAGTAAAAAAGATGAGTGATTGCCAGGGGGTTGGGGGAAGGGAAGAAGGACTGGACAGGTGGAGGCAGGGGATGTTTTAGGGCAGTGAAGCCACTCTGCACGTTACTGTAATTGTGGGTATTTTGTCAAACCCATTTTACTTTACAGCATAAGAGTGACCCTTCAAGTATGCAAATTTATCAAAGTCATGTAGGAGTTCAGTGGAATCCCAGAAAGGAATGCAGCCTGTCTGAGGAATCTCTGACAATGTAGGGAATGACCTCAGTGGAGGGGTCGGAGGAGGTGCTGGCCTAAGTCACTTTGGAAGGGAGCGAGTCTGTAAGACTACAGGCATGGGGAACTACATAACCACTGGGTTCTAGCTCATGGAGCTGTTTCCCAAGAGGGCACACATTTACAATTCTGATACTGTTATACAGGTCCACCTAAATAGAACAAATATGTAAATGGATGGCGGAGAGTGGGAGCCCCGTTCCTCAGTGTTTAAAGGGGCGTTTACTCTTAAATAAGGGCAGGAGGCTAGAATGACCCATGGTGTACTAGATTAGAGTTGGAGTCATCCGCATGAACTCAGGTTTAGCTTCGTATAGACACAGATGCTTACACATAGAAATAGTTGTAAGTAACTGTATACAGGGGTGAGTACAGCTGTACATGCTTCCTTGCTCTGTCAGCAGGGAGGGCCTATGACAACACCCAGGAGCAGTGAGCACACCTAGCACCCAGCACTTGGATTCTCAAACCATTCATGAAGAAAAGGAACCAGGGCTCCTTAGATGTGCGGATGATTCTCTGGCTGGGGCAGGAAAGATGCAATATGAGTGAGTAAAAAACTCACTCTTCCTCCTGTGTGTTCCTCCTTTACTCTCACACTGCTACCACACTCACAACATTTCTGACACCAGATGTGTGGGCTTTTTCCCATCCCAGCAATTCTGTGACCCCAGCTGAGTGTCCAACAATTTAACTGCATCTGGACACTGTCGACCTGGACACAGCATCGGATCCCACAGGTTAAGGGCTCAGTCCCGCGAGACTGCCTCCCACTTCAGAGGCCAATCACAAGTAGGAGGTCTCCAGGTTACCCACAGCCTCTGTCCGAGTGGGCTACAAATTGGAGGTTCCCATGACGCTCCTGCCTTGGATTTGAGTATTTGCTAGGAAGGCTCACAGAACTCAGGGAAACACTTACTTACATTTACCACTTTATTAAAGGGCAGGATGATGGACACAGACGAACAGGCAGGTGAAGAGATACACAGGGCGAGGTTTTGGAGAATCCTGAGCACAGGAGATTCTGTCCCAGTGCCATTGGGGTACGCCACCCTCCAGGTATGTGGATGTGCTCAACCTGGAAGCTCTCCAAACCCCCATACTACTGGAATTTTATGGAGGCTTCCACACGCTGGCATGATTGTTATTAACTCCACTTACAGCCCCTCTGCCCTCTCTGGAGAATGGGGGGTGGGGATGAAAATTCCAAGCTTCTAGTCCTGGCTTGGTCTTTCTGGTGACCAGCTGCCATCCAGGACCCCACCTGGACTTGCCTAAATGATATTAGGGCTATGGCTGTGAGAAGCCTTATGTTGCTTCTCAATTCTACAAAAAAATGCAATCAGAAACTCCAGGAAAAACAAAGACTATGGAAGAAAGTCAAAGTTTAATAGAAAGCAAACTAGAACATGGTAACATTTGGGACAAAAAGTAAAGTGTATCAGAAAGGAGACTCCATTTGAACATTCTCATTTAAGCATCATGGGGGTCTTGGCGTGCAACTATAGAAATGGAAATGGTAGATAGATTGTACTGTAATGAATAATATGACCATAGTCATAACACTGCAAACTCAGTGGGTTGCCTTTCAACTTTGAGAACCAATCGGTAAGAAAGCCCAGGAGACTTAATTATGGTTAAAGAACAGTGGACAATGGGAAACTACAAATACGGCTATGATGGTGCTATGGCACGCTGTTCAGAACTCCCTTCAAGATGCAAATTCTTATTTCCCTAGCTGGCTTGAGTGCTGCCAGCTCTCCTCAGGAACTGCCTTGGATAAAGACAGTCAGCTTCACCAACGTCACACCCATACTCAGCAAGCCCACAGCCAATGATTCAACTTGGCGGTATAAAGGTCCAGCCTCTTGCCCCAATGTGGGACATCTCGGAAAGGCGATCCCAGCTTCAGTGCTCCCTGTGGGGTTGGCTGGAGCTTTTTGAGACTGCATCACAGCACACCTTCTCCATCTGCCCAACCCTGATTCCTTCCTGCCCCGCCCCTTCCTCAGGTGCTGGTCCTAAGAGCACTCCCTAAGAAACTCCCGCACATGGATCGCCATCCTAGAGCCTGCTTCCCCGGGAAACCGACCTGCAACAACCCTCAACAGACAGTCGGGAGGAGGAAGGGAAGAAGACAAGTGGAGGGAAATGCAGGTATATTAGTATCACCAGTACGAAGCAGAAAGTCAATACTTGTGTCCGTAGTTGATGGAAAGAGAAATAGAGGTATAGGGATATTATTTAAAGGCACGAAATTAGTGCCTTTAAATAGAAAACCTGAAAAATAGTGATCTATCTACCTATTAATAGGAGAGGGGAAAATGGTAGGGAGAGATGAAAGAAAATTGGTCATGAGTTGATAACTGATGAAATTTGGGCATGAGCATGTGAGGCTTATTATACAATTTTCTGTATTTTTGTATATGTTTGATCAATTACCATAATTAAAAGTTAAAAACATAGACATGAAAAGAGCAAAGGATCAGTGAAATCGAATCTCATCTATCATAGCAGGAAGTCAGCAGATAACGTCTACAGTTGGCAACGACACAAAAGAGTTGATGTAGATATCAGCATAATATTTACAAAGATAGAGGCAGACTACCAGAAGAAGCGAAACTAGAAACATTTAAAATGAGAATGGGGTGCTGAGGGGTAAGGCAAAGGACTTTTGCTTTGTATTATATGCCTTTTGTGCTTTGCCTTCTGTTAGGGGTTGAACTGTGGCCCCTCTCAGAAAAAAAAAAAAAAAGATTTCTTGGAGACCTAACCTCCAATACCTAAGCATGTGAACTTATTTGGAAATAGGCTCTTTACAGAGGTAAGCAAGTTAAAATGAGGTCATCAAAGTGGGACCTAATGTAATAGGACTGATGTGCTTATAAAAAGGGAAAATTTGGACGCAGGCACAGGCACACACAGAAGGAAGATGTCCACGTGAAGCTGGAGATTGCAGGGCGGCATGCGCAAGCCAAGGTATGGCAAAAATTGCCAGTAAAACATCAGAAGCTGGAAGAGGCAAGGAAGGACCCTTCCCCTACCAGTTTCAGAGGGAGCACAGCTCTGCCAACACCTTGATTTCAGACTCCCAGCCTCCAGAAGTGTAAGACAATACGTTTTTGTTGCTCTGAGCCACCTAGTTGGTGGTACTTAGTCACAGTAGCTCTCGCAAACTAATACAACTTAAAAACATTTCAAAACGTCATGAGATTGCTGGGTTATGCAGAAGGTCAGCTGAGAGAGAAAATTATGCACCAGTTACCACAGTTCCGTTCCGTTTTGGTTTCGTTTTTTTCTGCTGGGCTGTAGCAGCAGTAGCAGCAGCAGGACAAGAGTGACAGCAAGTGGAGAGAGCCAGCGAGGAAGCAGGTTGGGTGAGAGTGGTGAAGAGTGAGGCTTTGAGAGAGCTCGTTAGTCAGAGAGTGGGACCCTGAGGTTTAAGACGTTTGAGGTGGAGCAGATCCTGATAATCAGAAGGGCTAGGATGCAGCCTTGAAGGTGGGGGGCTGAGGCTGAGAGAAAGAGAGATTGCTGGAGGTTAGGAAGAAGTCAAGGGGCTTGGAGTGGCATGGGCAGCCCAGGTAGAAATGAAATCACCCAGGATGATGGCAGGACTCAGGGAGCCAAGGAGGCCTGGGAGCCAGGTGCCTGAGTGATTGATGAATGAGGGAGAGGGACCAATAAGCGCAGTGGAACAAATTACCACAATCTTAGCAGCTTGTATACAACACCCACCTATTACCTCCTGGTTTCTCACCTGAGGCTCTGGGTTCTCTTCCAAGCTTATTCAGGCTGTTGGCAGAATTCAGTTCCTTGTGGGTGTGGGACTGAGGTCCCCATCTTCTAGATGGCCATCAGTCAAGGGCCGATCTAGCTCCCAGAGACTGCTCACAGTTCCTTGCCAGATGGCCTTCTCACAACATGGTAGTTTACTTCTTCAAGGCCAGCAGGGGAAGCTCTGTAACTTCAGGGAAGACCTGGCCCTCCTTTGAAAGGTTTGCCTGATTAGCTCAGACCCACCCAGGATCATCTCCCTTTTGATTAACTCAAAGTCAACTGATTAGGGGCCTTAATTACACCTGCAAAATCCCTTCACCTTTGCCATATCCTATTGTTTACAAGCAGGTAGTCCATTCTGCCCACTCAAGTCCAAGGGCGGAGAGGGGATTCTACAAGGACATGTACATTGGGGGGCGGGTAGGAAATGTGGAGGCTATATAGAATTCTACCTACCACAGATGCACCCTGTCTTGAGCCTCAATGCCACCGGATGACAGAAAAACTAATCTAGTCCATCCCACACTTTCCCAGTTACTTCAGGGCTTTCTTTCTAAGTACAAATGATCATTATCAAGCAATTCAAGATTTTCTCCTCCTTGGCCCCTGGCTACCACCTACATTCTGTGAGGCTTACTCAGTTCCATGGCATCTGGAGAGAGAGAGAAAGCACAAGCGAGCATCTGATCCTTGTCATTGGCAACTGTCCCTGCCAGCATCCACTGCAACGTACAATCCCATCTGGCCCTAAGAGACAGCACCCCTTCGTGCTGACTTCCAATGAGGTGTCTTCCTCCTCAGGACATCAGGTGTGTCCTGGTACACAGTCCAAGCCACTTTCCACTGTGACATCCTTTGGAGGGTGGCTCTCTCTCCCACGCCACTTTAGTGCCATTCAAACTCAGGGGGCTGCCCCAGACACTTCCGCAGCTGAGTCATGCTGATCTAGTGTGAGGGGAGTTCTAGGACGCTGAGAAGTTTTCAGGGTACAGTCCAGCAAGGGAGCACAAGTCCCCCTGCCCTTGGACTTCTATTGTACTCCCATGTTTGACCCTAACTCCAGGGGTGGGGCAGAACACATCCGTCTATTGGGAAATATTCTGCAATTCCCTGCCACAGCAAAAGGATGAGGATTCGAGGAAGAATTGAAGGCTTGTCTCCCATTCCAGATCTGGCATCCTCAGACGGGCACTCCTTGAGAGCAGGCTCTGCCCCTTCCGTTCACTGCTGTATCCCCAGGGGGGGCACCCTCTTCTGGGTTTTGCAAAATCACTGGGATGAGAAGCATGAGCAGAATTACCTGGATGAGAAGGCAGAGCGGTCCAGGTTGTACTCAGTCTGCTGCCAGTGAGGGCTCTCTTGCCCTGCATGGAGAGGCAGGCAGGGCCCTGGCCTCTGTGGGCATGTGAACTGGTTCTGAGAAGGAACCTGATGTGGGCTGTGACTGCCACCAAAAGTGCTGGGCACCGAGGGCCCTGTTCCCGGACGTGGCTGTCTGAAGATGTGCAAGGCAGGGCCGTGACACTGTTCTCCAACTGCCTGGGCAGGGCCAGATAGACAGCGCTGGATCCCGGCTGCCCGGAGGTTTGTGATGCAGCAGGAGCTGCCTCGTTCCTGGCTTGGGCCTGGAGGGGGAGTGAAAGGGAATTGGATCACAACCAGGATCTCATTCCACTGAAGTAGGAGTAAAGCCCCATGGAGCATGAGGGCACAGAGGAGGGGCTGGGCACCCCGGCAGCCTTGACATTTGCTGAGCTCCTTCTCTGGGTCACACACTGTGCCAAGGGCTTTACAAGCTGAGATGACTCATATGGAAGAGGTCAGTCGCAGTCCCCTTTGCCTCTGGACATCTTGCATCCATCATCCTGCAAGTGATCTTTGCCTTCCCTTCCCTTTCCTCCTCTCCCTCCTCCTCTTTTCTTTTCAAGCCCAGGCTTTTTCATCCTGCCATTCATTGCTTCAGCCAGCTCAGCTCCAGTGGTCCCAAAGGCAGGGCTTGGAGGAGGCCAGCTCAAGGCTCTCAGAGCCGGGAAGTCGGGAATTTCTCAAAGCCTCCACCAGGGGTCGCCTAGGCACCAGTGTTTGCCAGCACTGCTTCACAGGCGATTCATTTCCTTAAAAAAAATGTATTATTTTGTAAAGCATAAGCTTAAAACAAAACAAGCAAAACAGAAATGCCTCATTGGATCTCTGTAAGTACCGCTCTCTAGCTGAGTGAACGATGACGGCTCCCTTTTCCATTTGCGTGGCATCCATCTGAATGAGGACGTTCCATTTGGGCCCCCCTTCCCTCCTGGTTTTCCCTGCTCCTCTTGCATTTATGAAGGAGTCCTGCTTATTCCCCCAGATCTGTCTTTACAAAGAGCCTCAGGGAAGGGAAACAATGACAGGTGTTTGGGAATAAAGGAGGACTCTCAAGGTTGAGGGCTTCCTGTGAAGGGAGAGGCTTCTGGTCCCTTGGGCCTGCAGTCACAGCCCCAGGGCCTGTCCCTGTCCCGAGGTCCCATAGGCCAGACCTCACCTGCCTGCACTCTCAGTCTCTAACAAGCAGGTGTTGCTTGCAAAGGGGAGCCCACAGCTGGATTGCCAGAGCAACGCCCATTGCCTCCTGCACTTCTGAAGGCAAAGCCAGAGGACAAGTCGGAAACCCTGGGAAACACTGCAGGGCTTTGTGACATTCCTCTTGGGTCCCTCTGAAATGAGTGCTATGAAACACACCTCGGGCACTAATTGATGCACCCAGAGAAGGAAGGGCTAAAGACAGACAGCCTGAAACACGACAACTTCCAGGGAAACAACAGAAGGGTAGGAGGAATCTTCCCCGAATGACCACATGCCTCCTGCCTCATCAGAGAGAGGCCCTCATGAAGGGAGCAGTTTATGCCAAAAAAGGCAGCAACGAGAGCAACCTTGCCGGCTTGGTGAGGAAAATCAGCCCTCCGTTGCTATGACACAGGAAAGCAGTGGATGTCCCCCATTGCAGAATTGGTGTGATGTGATATTTCTATAACATCACTAAACAGTCTATCGATATGGGAAACTTCTCCAAGAGTCTCAAAGGAGCCAAGAAAAAGACTCCAGTGGAGCCTGGTGGCAGAGTGGTTCAGTTCGTGCACTCCACTTTGGTGACCCAGGGTTCGCAGGTTCAGATCCCGGGCGTGAACCTACACACAGCTCATCGAGCCATGCTGTGGCAGCATCCCACATACAAAATAAAGGAAGATTAGCACAGATGTTAGCTCAGGGACAATCTTCCACAAGAAAAAAACAGGAGAATTGGCAACAGATGTTAGCTCAGGGGCAATCTTCCTTCCCAGAAAATAAATAAATAAATAAAACCCCACTGTGGTGGAAGGCTTACCAGTGGTGATTCTTGCTAAAGGGCATGTGTTGTTCACAGTGAAAGTGCAGTTTTCAAAAGCCATCGAAGTTGGGATTTCTCTCCATTGGCTCTTGGAGCCCAAGAGTTGCCTTTGAGTCCTGGGGAGGAGCAAAGCCTTGAGGCTCCCAGTCCTACCCTTGACCTTGTAATCCAGGCACAAACCATTAGCTGCCACACCTCACACCCCTGACTGCTTGCTTGCCCCCAGCTGGATGCCAGCCCCCATCTCTCTGAGTGATCCTGCACTGAGCAGTCACACGATGGGCCAAAGAGCACGGGCTGTGCAGTCAGACAGACCTGACTTCAATCCTAGCTCCACAGTGTGGCCCTGGCCCACTGCAAAACTCTCCTGGGGCTCATATGGAAAGGTGAATCCCACAGAGACGGCCTAGGGGCCCATTCCTAGGCTCCAGCAGGCACTCGAGAAACGGGGGCTCTAGGTAGCAGGTTCCGCCTACCTGGACCGACTCTAGCCCTTGGAGTTCCCGGTCCCAGCCTGCCCAGTCTGCCCCAGCTTCGGCCCCTCTGGGGCACGGCAGCAGCCATCTCCAGCTCTCCTGAGCCCCACGCCATGGCTTGTGAGCTTCAGAGATGCCAGCTGGGCCAGTGAAGTGTTCCCAGTTAGGAAGCTGCAGCCTGTGGCATGGGGGAGCTACAACCTTCCCTCAGGTGATGCCCACCCAGCTCCCTGACAGGCTCCAGGCAGCACGTGGGGTACTTCCCTGGTGCCCCGTTCAAGGCACTATGATCAGGGCAATTCTGGCTTTCCATTTCCAGGGTCACGTGGCTTCTACATCATCAACAAGCTGCTAAAGGAATCAGTTCCCAGAGGGATACGATGGCAGGCTGGAGGTGGGCTGGCACTACCACTTCTCGTGACATTCACGGTGAGACCCGGGCGGGGCCCAAAGTTAGACAAAAGGCCCCAACGCCACTTTCTTGCTTCTCTTCGCCATCACGTCTTTGTGCATCGAATTCATTCCAGCCTTTTCAGCTCACTGAATCCTCACTGCTGTCCTTATCTCCAGTGCACAGATGTGCAAAGGGAGGCTTGGAGGACGGTCATCACTGGCTCAAGATCTCACAGCCGGCACAGCTGGAACTTAAATGCTGGCCTCTTGGCCAGGATGCCACACTGCCACAGACAGACCCAGGCCAGGGCACTGGTCTGGGCTGCTCAGTACTGTGGTGTCACAGTGATCACCATATGTCTTCACAGGCCACCAGGACACGTGGAAGGACACGGGGGCACAGAAGCAGAGGTGGGCAGGTGAGAGAGATTCCAGATCCCGGGCTGGCTGAGAACACTGTTTTCCCAGGGAGAACGTGCACTTTGCAATTCAGGCTCCAGAGTAATCCCGAGGATAAAACTATTGGCTGCCAAGTATGGAGCCAGGGATACCTGTGTGCCACAGCCTGAAGGACAAGGCGTATGTCCCAGCACTGCTGGGTGTGGGGTCTACCACCCTCATTTTACAGGAGGAGAAAATGGAGGGGCGCTCAGGTCACATGACTTGTCAGTGACAAAGACTGACAAAGACTGGACTTCAGCCCAGCTCCCTCACTTACCCCTGCGCTCAGTACTGATGCAGTGAAGGACACGGGGCATGGACGTGTCAACATGACAAGCACAATGAAGCTTCCCTGTGGCCAGCACTTGCTATGTGCTAGGCCCTGTGCTGACTGCTTCAGCTTTGAGGCCAACGGGCCTCGTTAACCACCTTGCCTCCTTTGTGGTCACTTAAGACGTTTGCTAGAAAAGGGGAGGTGTCCACTCAGACTCCTCCAGGTGAGGGGAAAGAAACCCTTCGAGACAAAAGTGGTGACAATGACTGAACACGAGACGGTGAAGGCCCTTCCTTTGAAAGCTACTTTCAGGTACGTTACCATGCTGTCCACAGTGAACCGACAGGCTTCTCGGGAACAGAGGGGGTTGCACAGCAGAGTTCCTGACACAGGCTGCAGCACGTCCCCCCTTCAGCTCACCTCCTGCAGCTGCCTTTTCCACTCGGGGATTGTGAAGAGCCTGCTAGGAAAGCAGCAACTGGGCCGGCCTGACGACACCAAGCTCCCTGTGTCATCGCCTAGATCTCAAAATCACAGACTCCTCGATCACGCAAGCCCCCAGAATTGTGTGCGAGGGCCCAGGCGTTCTGTGACTGCCCTGGGAAACTGCACAGGCCTTGGGATTTCCTGAAACAAGACTGTGGGCAGATCTGCAGGGGTATGAACGATTGACGTACACACACGCTTGCCAAGGGCCTTCCTAATTTTAGCTCCACATTCACCCCATTTCCACCACGGAAAACTGGGTTGGTACCAAGTGAGATTTCACACCCTGGGGCAGTTGGTTCCGCAGAGCTGGGGCACCCAGCCATCCAGGTTGACCTGGGGCAGGGCCTCAGTCCTGCCTGTCCCAGGAAGGGCATCCCTGCTGGCTGACGGCTGGAGGAGGGACATACCTCCAGCAACTCTGGCCCTCCGTTAGTCCTCAACGAATGCTGGCTCTTGCTGGTGATAGCATCACATGTGCACAAGGCCGCCTCGGGGCCACGTGAGTTTCAGAATTCAGAAAGCTGACAGAGGGCACAGACCGCATAGCACAAACACCCTTGCAGGCTCCAGTGAATGCGTTGATAGCTCTGCTGTGACACATGACTACAAACGCCAAGGGGGACAAAGACAACTCAGGATTCTACAAAGAGCTTCTTGTCATCCATTTTTGGTTTTGCCACCAACAGACTTTAGGCGTAGCTGATGAAAACACTTTTGGTTGCCAAAGCTCTGTGGATGAGGGAACTGATGACAGCAGATCACGGACCTGTATCCCCAGACGCAGCTGACTGACATGGACGTCCACACACATCAGGGAAGAGGCTCCCAGCTTTATGGATCCCTGGGGGTACTGATACAGCCCCCACGTCTCAAACCCTGTCAGTCTGAGTGGGTCCACATTGCCTCCCCACTGGCCCCAGGGGCCACTATACTGTACATCTTTGGTCAAAATCAGTGCATGGCACCTGAGGCCCCAATCCACAAACCTGGGGCCACATCCAGTAGGACCTTTGGGACTGGGGGCCAACGGTGTCACTGCTCTTCCTCTTCCTTGCCAAGCTGGAGGCTTTTCCCTGTCTGCGCATCTCCCATCTGCAGGCTTCGAGGCACAGGTCAGCACCCTCACGCTCTCTCTTACCTATCAAAGCCTAATCGGCAAAACAGAGATGCCTCTCCAGCCACCACTAGCAGTAGAGTGCTTCATGGTTTACGGGCCGCTCTCACAGAACCATCCCGTGTCATGCACGCCCCCAGGAGATAGGCGGAAAAACAGCATGACTCCTCAGGGGGAGATTTTCATATTGTGCCCATCTTTCAGATGAGGAAATTGAGGCTCGGGGAGGTACAGTCATTTGCTTAGACTCACACTCCAGCAGTGGTCGCACCAGGGATCAATCCCAGATCTGTAACCATAGAGCAAAGCTTGCTTTTTCTGCCATGCTCCCCCTGTGGAGGACAGGAGCGTGAAGGGGCCAGGTTGGGGGCGCTCCCCAAAGACATCTGCCTCAGCCAGGAATCTTCTCCCAGCTCCCTGAATGTATCTGGCCCTTTCAGGGGGCCTTTCCCCCATTTCCCACCTAAGGAGACCCTTTTCACCCTCAAGACCTAGCTCACAGGGCCCTTTTCTCTGAAGCCTTCCTCGGCCCCTTGCCCCGAGTCATTGGTTACTTCCCCTTCAAGTTTTCCTGAACCCATAGGGCCTCGATTCAGATCAGGTGGTTTACAGGACTGCCTGGAAGATGCCCCCACCAGCCCTGAGTGACGCAGCGCTGAGTGCGCCTGTGGACCTGCACCGTCAAGGAGCCTCTTACAGGACGGGTGTCTGCTGACAACTCTGCTTTGCCCTGTGCTGTTCCCTACCCAGGTCTGCCCTCTCCCATCAGCCTGGGCTTACAGCGATGCTAAGAGACGCCAAGCTGGCAAACGCCCTGGAAGCACACCCCCTTCCAAACCCAGCAGTCTCCTGACGCACAAGAGGCCGAAGCACCTCCCACCAGGCCAGCCGCAGCGTGGAGCGCGGTTTTGCCCGAGGAAAGGCGCCTGGCGCCCTATGTGTGCTACTTGGTATGCACCCATTCCTGGGGCACCAATTCTGGGTGTTGATTCACCCGTTCGGTCCACCTGGATTGCAAGGCCTCAGGCACAGTGAGGGTCTGACCACCCGGCCGAGTGCGGGTCCTCAAAGGCCGATCCCTGCTCTGCAGCTCCCCGATGGGCTGGGGGAGACTGTCAGCTCGGTGTCACAGGCTGAAGGGACACCCTGTCCAGCCCTGCCTCGCCCTGCTCCCTTCGTGGGTGTTAGTCCCCAGTCAGCCTTTGGCACAGCTCACTCCCTCTCGGGGGAAGCTTCCTGAAGTATTCCACCTGAGACGGTTGCTTCTGGAGTGGTCCAAAAAGCAGGTGCTAAGAAGGGTCTTGGTGCAGGATTGCTCATCGCCCGCCCCACTGGTAATGAGGACCCCACCCTGGGATAGGTGGTGTGTAGACAGCCCAGCAGCTAGAATGTTCCTGTCAGAACTCTTCGCTGGGCCAGCGGATGGAGAGGAATTTCCTGGCAGACGAGGGGACCCAGGCGTGTGGCACGTACGGGAAGGAAAACTCGAAGGACAAGGGGAAGGACAAGGGTGACCCTCTTGCTTTGATGACCTGCAGGGCAATGAGAAGCCTGGGGTGATTAACCGAGTGAAAACTAAGGAGGAGCCCCAGAGTCTCCTCAGTAGCTTGCAAAGTCGCCCCATCTCAGGCAGTGGAGGAAGGGCAAACCCAGGATTTGATAGGAGTGGCTGAACTTCAAAGACAGCTGAACGTTCACCAATGCAGGTCTGTCAGGCCAACATCAGAAGCCCCGTCGGGAAAACCCGCACCCCTGACACCAGGGACAGGCACATCCAGGCGAGGGCCCTGGAAGAGCTAGACTCCCCAGATGCCTCTGAAACTTCTGAGCCTGCGGCAGCGGCCCACCCCATCCCTAAGGGAGCAAAAACTGCACGTTTTTCCTCGCGGTTGCCTTCCCTCCCAGGACGTAGGGTGACCAGCTGTCCCGTTTTGCTGTGGGACTTGCAATGCTAAAACCAGGAGAGTCCCAGGAAAACCAGGAAGAGGTGGTTGGCTTCCTGCCAGGCCCCCAACCAGAGTGAAGTCACCACACAACACAGGCAGAATGTGCCAGGCATGCTAAGGGAGGAAAGGAACTGCACAACCGCCTGACCCACGAACGGCAGTAGAGGTCCTGGGGTGGCACTGAACCGCCAGCATGCGGGGGCTGACGCTGATGGACACCACTGGCAAGGAGGCCTGACCCATCAAGCGGCGGAGGGGGTCAATACCACACGGCCTCCCTGGGGGCACAATGGATGGGCAACCCACCAAGGTGCAGCCTAAAATGGACCCTCGAAAGAGCAAGAACACACGGCAGGTGGCTGAGGGCAGCCACCCCAACAAAGTCATGATCCCTTGCCCAGGTTCTGCCCCTGAGCCAGTTTTCTGACCTGGAACCGTGGACTAGGGAGGTGGGAAGGACACTGCAGTGCCATGGAAAGTAGGCACGGGAATGACCCCCCAACCCCTCCCAAAGGGACCTCTGGCTATGCACTGGGGGACTGAATGCTGGGAAATGGGATTACCAGACCGTGGGAGGCTGTTGGACACAGCGTCCAACCCGACATTGATAGTGGAGTCTCAATAAACTCGGTCTCCGTGTCCACTTCAGGAAGACCCCTTGCTGAAGTTTCTGACCAGAGGACGTCACTGCCTCCAAGGTATGCTGGGCCATTCTCAAGCATCTGTCAGTCGGGCTTGAGTGGGGAGAGCCTGGAATCCAATACACTCCACAACAAGGTAACACTTAACGTTAAACGAAAAGACATAAGACAGAATGGTCACACAGCAGGAGCTCGACTGAGTAAAGAGGAACCACACAGAAAAAGAACAGGGGGAGGGTCAGCCCCATGGTATAGTGCTTAAGTTCAGCGCCCTATGCTTTGGCAGCCCGGGTTCACAGGTTTGGATTCTGGGGCACTCATCAGCCATGCTGTGGTAGCGACCTACATATAAAGTGGAGGAAGACTGGCACAGATGTTAGCTCAGGGCTAATCTTCCTCAAACAAAGAGGAAGACCGGCATAGATGTTAGGTCAGGGCTAGTCTGCCTCAGCAAAAAACAAGAAGTCGGGGAATAGGTCCAAATTGTGAGCATTCACACCTCCGAGTAGTTGTCTCCTGAGTGCCCTCTGTCTTGATTCTTCATATACTTTCTGTACTTTCCAAAGTCGCCACAGCGAGCATGCACATACTCAGGAGTTAGCCGAATGGGTCTTCTGCAACAGAGTGCATTAGTCCACCCATTCAAGGCCCCATCACCATAGTTATGGGATGGCAACACCTGCTCCAGGTCTCCCACACCTGAATCTCATAAACAAATAAGCTGGACCACACAGTGTCACTCAGCCACAGTGTGACATTTGGATGCCCTCCCTCAAGCTGTGGAGGGCCTGGCACGGGGGTCGTTGCTTGTTTGCTCAGAGACTGAGGACAGTAAAGAAGATGTTACTGAGACTCAGGAGATGGAAACATGGAAATGAGCACTGATCCGCCCCCAATTGACAGTGCTATTCTGGCTTGTGATATGAATGCAAGTGAGGAGGTTGCCAGATGTTCACAGAAACTCCCAAAGTACCAACTCAACCAGACCACCCTATGTGTGCAGGCACCACACCTAAGCAGTGGTGGAAAAGTAGCTCGTGGGTGACTGCAGGTGCCTTGTGATGCAGCTTCTTCCTGTGGACTTGGAGCGTCACTACACAAAGGCAGAAATAAGTACAGTTCTCAGTTTGGACCACGTGATCCGGGCCGTACTGAGAGGGACCCACCCAACTGGAGCTACCTGGGGGACAGGGAGCAAGGAGGGCAGTGGAGTCTGCCTGTTGGAATCAGGCCACCTGAGGATTGGGAGGAAAAGGGAGACTGGGGCCAAAGAAACAAGGCTCGCTGTCCTCTTGCTACTGCACGGCTGCCGGGCCTCCTCTTCAGCAAGGTCAGGACACGGAACTACAGCCAAGCGGTGACAGAGGGAATCACAGGGATGAGAAGGAGCCCATTCTCAGGGGCAGAGTGCTGGACGCAAGGGCACCTCCTCCTCGGGGACCACTCCTCCCAGGTGGTGGGGCCTGCGGGTAGAGGGCAGCCTCCAGCTGGAGGGGCAGTGGACACTGCCTGACCTTTGGGATCACTTACACTTCCAGAGTCTAGGTGAACGCTGAGTGCAGAGCAGGCCTGCAAAGGGAGGAGGAGAGCAGCCCCCGAGGGCCAGAGGAGGAATCTGAAACGCAAACAATGAAGGGGAGATGAGCACCCAGGCTTCAGAACCAGCTCCCACAACTCTGCACCAAAGAGACCAGCAGCTCAACAGAAAGCCGGGCAAAAGACGTTTCAGAGAGGAGGAAACCGGACCTGCCGAGAAGTGTATGGGGGAAACCGGGAGTTTGGGTCAAGCCGGTCCCAGATCTGTGGTGCCGCAAAACACGTGGCAGGAGCCAAGTGGAACCTTCCCTGTACCTCAGAGTCAAAGAAGCACGTGGGGTGAACTCTGCACTTCTCGGCAAGTGAGGAGATGGGTGACAGGCTCAGCGGAGGAGAGGGGATGTGGAGAAATCACACGGAGCAGAGAGCATGGGCTGGGCAGGAGAACATCTAGGCCAGAGAGGGGGCCGGGAGAGCCAGAGTGTTGAGCACCGAGAGGCCTGGTGGTGGAAAGTTCCCAGCGGACAGCTGGGGGGAGGTGGGGCTGGATGGACACAGGTCACTGGAGGGGTGAAGGATAAGAAACTGCAAAAGCAAGGGCTCAGACAGGCCATCGGGGACAGAGAGTTCTGCAGGGTGCTGCCCGAAGGGAAGAGGAAGCGAGCCTGACTGAGGAGGTGCTGTGAGCTCTAAAGAGGAGGCCAAGTCCTGGGGGCATTCGCCACAAAGAGCAGTGGTGGACATGCTAAAAGCACTTCCTAAAAGGAAGATGGGCTGCGGTATGGGGATGGAACCACGGTCTGGGGAAGAAAGCAGGCCCCTTGCAGCCCTGAGGCCTGAATCCCATGAAGGTGCCCTCTGCTCCTCACCTCACCTCAGGGCCAGCATTCATGCTTCCTGGAGCTTCGGCAAGGAGCAAGCAGCTGCAGCTCACTGGAAGGTAAGGCAGTGCTCTGTTGATCTACACTGACTGAGCAACTCCTGTGCACTGGGGCCGCAGCTTGCAGAAACGAGTCAAGAGCCAGTCCTGGCATTTAAGGACCTCAGCGCTCCTGAGGGGGCCCTGGACTCTTGGAGAGCAGGTACAACCCTGGGAGACAGGAGCCCAGGGAAGGGAGGGAGGAAGGGAGGGCCAGAGTGCCGCCAGAACCCAGGGACAGGAGTGCCTGCCACCAGGCGTGGGGCAGAGAAAGGCTAGGACTCTCTTGTCTTGGCAGGCATTAGAGCCCACGGGTACCACGTACCAAAGCGGGGAGTCCTGACAGACTGCGTGCACTCAGGGGTCAGGGGCTCCCCAGCACAATGACCCACATGTTGGGCCAAAACGGGGGAGAGAGCTGGCCCCCCCCGGAAGGCCCTAGGAGGGCATTGATGAGGTCAGATGTGCTGCTGAGAAACGGGACTGGTGGCCTGTGCAGCTCCCACTGGACTAGAAAGAGCCGGCGCCCAGGCCGATGGGGAGGCTCAGGGAACAACCAGCACGGGCCCCAGACTATGGGGCCGGAACTCAGGAAGTGGCCATGGGGCAGGAAGAGGGGCCTTCATTCTGATCGGGCCTTTGAGAGGCAAAGCCCCAGGACTGGGTCATCCAGGCAAAGCCCAGGAAGGGCGCAGGGATGTCGAGGAGCACAGCGCGTGGCAGTGAGTGCCTTGAGCTACTAACTGAGAGTCAAGACAGGATGCAGCTTTGACAGAGAAGCGGGCTTTTGGGAGACATGTCAGGTGTGAGGGACAGCAGAAAAGAGGGGGGACTTTCCTTCTCACCTGCAAACAAAGCCCATATCACGACTGCCCCTCAGGACGCCCAGGCACGCCCGCGGTGGCCTGGAAGAAGGAGACCCTGACTCTCCGGGCACAGGACTCAGCCTAGAGGTGCCGCCCTCTCCCGGCCTCCGCGTCCCCCAGGGTACCTTCGGAGGGTCAGTTAGGTCGCCAAGGACGCTGCGACTGCACCTTGACTTCTGCCTCTGAGGTCACCGCGCATCAGGCGCCTATCCCCTCCTCCTCCTCCCTTTCCCCCAGCTCCTCCCCCACCTTTCTCCCAGCTCCGCCTCGTCTCCTGAAGCCCCGCCCTCAGCCCCGCCTTCTCTTTCAATAGCGGCTCCTCCCTCGGCTCTTTCCCTCAGGTCTGGCTTCCATAAGGCTCCGCCGGCCCCTCCCAGCCCCGGCCCTGCCCCTCAGCCTCCCCGCAGCCCCGCCCCCTGGCTCACGTTGTCCCCCGCCTCACTCTCCCCCTAGCCCCTCTTGCCCGTTCCTGACCTGCTCCCAGCCGCTGGTCTCCAGGCCCCGACTGGGCCTGCTGAGGCCTCGTCCCTTGGGGCCTGGGGAGTCCATCGACGTCTCCTAGAGGCGGGGGACCGCGTGCACTCGTGCTCGTGACGTCAGCATGTGTCTTCGTAATGAGCTGGCTGCGTGCCTGCGTGCCTTCGTACAGGCGTGCTGAGTTCCGGCGTGCTGCGTGCTTACGTACGTGATCCGTGCCCCCGTATTCCCGCAAGAAAGGGGCGTCGGCGCCTAGGCGAGCCCGGCCTGCGTACAGAGAGCCAGCGCCTGTCGCCTGTCGGTCGCGCCCTAGTCTCCGTTTCCCCCAGCGGTGGCGGCGGCGCAGCCAGGACTTGGGCAGGCGCTTTGTCTTCGCTCCGCGGCCCGCGTCGTCTCCTCTCCTGGGTGTGGGAGGCGGCCCCGACGGGACACGGGGAGGCCGAGGACCATGCCGCCCGATGGTCGGAGCCGGGTCGGCGCAGCGCGCCCGCCACTCGCTCGGCCGGTGGATCCGGGAGACCCGCGCCGCCGGAAAGGCTCCAGGACTCAGCCCTCCGCGGGATGGTACCACTACCCTAGGAGCGCGTGAAGGTAGCCAACACCGCACTTTCCTGTCCCTTCCCCACCACCGTTACACACCCGCCCTCCTCCTAAGTGTGTGGACCAGCGACCTGCGTCTGCGCCTAGAAAGGCGAGTGTGCCGGTCCCCAGGCACCGGTAGGTCCGCCCTCGTACCTGCCGTCCTGCCTCCCGTGACCCTTCAGCTGTGCCCCCACCCAGGCCACGGGCTCCGCTGTGCCCTCAGAACACGGTCCGCTTCCGTGACGTGATGTGCTGTGCTGCTGGCTGCTGGGGCGTTATGTGGTCCCACAGCCCGCCGGGGCCAGAGAGACCCACTGCCGTGATGAGCAGAGCCAAAGCGTGCGTGAGGGGTTTCCCTCCAGTTGGACCCTCCCGGGTCCTGCTGGCCTCCAGTCCCTGCTGAGTTGAAGACCGTTCTGGTACTTTAGCCCACATTGCTGTCTCGTACCTGATGACCTTGTCTCGTTATCCCTCTTGTCCTTGTGCAGGCGAAGGAGCCGAGACCAGAGGAACAGGCTTTCCTCTTCAGGCCACCAAGCAGGTACTCTCCGCATCAGGAGGCAGGAGGGCACTCGGCCCCCTTCGTACCTTTACGGTTACCTCAGTTCTCTCTAGGGATCCCAGCCACACAGTTCAGGTCTCCTGGTTGTGATTTTGTGCTTCTGATGAGAAAAGGACCAAGACAGCGAGTGGCAGAAACTAGGCAAACCTGCAGTCCAGTCGTCTACCCCAGGAGAACAGAAGTGACCAGGCCCCAGGGGGACATCCAGCCTCCTTCGTAAATAATCCAAAGCCAGTGAACAGGGCGACCCTTGGTCACCCATCCGGTTAGCAAAGGTTAAGTGAAAGGAGATGCTCAGGGCCGACGAGTGTGTGAGGAGATGGCCCTTGCCTGTGGTTGGTGGAGTGTACGGAAGTGAGCCCCTGTGGAAAGCCTTCTGCTGGTGCGGATCAGCATCTCAGATGTGCATGCTGTGTGACCCAGGCCTTCTCCTAACTATATCTTCAGTCAACACCTGTTTGTGGGGACGTCCTTTATGGTGACAGAAAGTGCAGAGCAGTCTGTGACTCACCATCAGGAAGATAGTCAGTGAATTGTGGGAGAGCCAACTATGGGATAGCATACAGGCGGTGACGAATAGGACAGAAGAAGATGTGCAGACGTGAAAGAACGTGCTTGATGTGCTGTTAATGGAGAAATCAGCCTCCACCCTTGGAGACGTCCAGGCAGGAGCACACAGCTCTGTTAGTTTGCCAGGGCGGTCATGTCAGAGTACCGCAGACTGAGTGGCTTCAACAGCAGAAAGTTGTCGTCTCACACTTCTGGAGGCCGGAAGTCCAAGATCAAGGTGTCGGCCGACTTTGCCTCTGCTGAGGACTGTGAGACAGAATCTGCTGTTCCGTCCTTGTCCCCGACTTCTGGTGGTTTGCTGGCAATCTTTGGCATCCCTAGGCTCGTAACTTTCTGCCTTCCTCTTCAAATGGTGTTCTTCTGTGTGCGTCTCTCTAAATTTCCCCTTTTTACGAGGACACCAGTCGGATTGGATGAGGGTGCACCATAAGGAGCTCATTTTACCTTGATTACCTCTGTAAAGACCTTTTCTGTGTATATAAGGTCAGATTCTGAGGAACTGGGGACTGAGACTTCAAGACGTGAAACTGGAGGGACCACAATACAACCAGTAACAACCTAGAATGGCCCTGTGGTAGGAGGAAAGCCTTCGTGGCTGCAGGGTGGTGAATAAAGTGGGGAGGAGAGTGGAAAGCTGGAGGGGGGCGCAGATCACGTGGGGCCTTGCAGGCCATGGTAAGAAGTGTGGGTCTGTTCTGCTTTGGGAAAGAAGCCTCTGGAAGGCACTGGGCTGGGTGCCCTCAGTGCCTCGGTCCCCGTTCTCACAGTCTTGTGGAGGCTGAGGTTCCCCGAGGTGCCAGGACCCAGCTGAGGTTTGGGCCTGGGGCCCTGCTCCTGCCAGTACACAGCTCTGTACCCTAGCAACAAGGAGGGATCCCCTCCAGGGACAGGGTAAGGAGGCAAGGACAGGGAGTGCATGCAGTTAGGTCCCCTGTAATGGTGAGCTCTCTCTTCATCCCTCAGTGCCTCCGTCTCAGCTGTAGAGTGGGGTGACAGTAGCACTGCCCCTACCTGGTTATTTGAAGGTTGAATTCTATGATCCGTGGATCGTGCCCATCCCAGGGCCTGGCATGGAGATGGTGCGTGCTCGTCGCTGCTAATCGTTCTTGTGCCCATGATTCGTTTCTCTCAGCTTGGGACTCCTGCTGACAGCGGAGAGCAGTGGTGCAAGAAGGGGTTGGAGGAGGATAGCAGCCAAAGGGGTCAGTCAGGAGGAGACACCCAACGGGGCCATCTGAGATCGACGTCATCCCCTGGGCCCAGCTGAGGTTGGATAGCAAGGATTTCTGGTAGCAGCCCTGCAGTAGGGGCCGGGAGATCCGGGACCTGCGGTGCCTTGGCAGTGGCAGTGCCAGGAAGCAGAGAGGGTTGGGGTGGGTGGGGGTGGCAGGAGAAGAAGCATAGCCCAGGACTGTCCCTGTCTGTGCTGGGAGAGGGCTAGAGCCAGCCCACTGTGCTGTGAAGCCAAGGGGCCCTCCCTCCCTCCCTCCTCTGTGCTGCCCTGGGGCTCAGTGATGTCTGTTGTACAACTGACCACGTGCTGTCCTGGCTGTGCCTTTCTCTAGCTGTCCCCACCCTCCTCCAAGAGCTCCCCAAACACACCATCTGACAGGCTAGTCATCCCAATCGCCAGTCCCTTCCGTCAGGCCTGTCAACTGACTGCCTGGTGATTGAAAGGAGGAGCCAGCATTCTCCGCTCCCCCGCTGTCCAGGTCAGTGGGTTTCAGGGCACCCGGGGGACTCTGGGGAGAGGTCAGGCCCACGGGCCATGAGCTTGGAGTGCCGGTGCGTGAGGTTTATTGACATTGCGGTTCTGCGTTTCCACAGGCCACGTGAGGCCCAAGGAGCTCTGGGGAGATGAAGTTCAGCTGCCTCTCCTTCCGGCAGCCCTGTGCAGGTTTTGTCTTAAATGGGGTCAAGACCATGGAGATACGTTGGCATCCCCTGCTGAACAGCCACCGGGGCTGTACCATCGCCGTCCAGATTGCTCACAGGGTCTGGGAAGACGCGGCCTGGAGGGAGCTGCTGGTGGAGAGGCTGGGGAGGACCCCCGCTCAGATTCGGCCTTGCTCTGGCAAGGGGAAAAGTGTGGCTGTGGAGTGATAGTTGGCAAGTGCTGCTGTGCCGAGCACCTCTCAGACACCTCCCAGGGCTGCCCCAAGGACCTTGCTCAGTAGTTTGGTGGCTTGTTTTCTCTTGAACTGCTGCATGTGTGCACTGTGTGGTTTGTTTCAGTAACACACCTTCAGAGTGGCAGCAAGGGGCACTGGGCTGAGGGTTGGCAGGCCAAGGTTCCACAACCCAGGGTGAACCGTTTCTTCATCCTGGGCCTCAGTTCCCATTTGTGATCCAAGAAGCAGGATGAGGTCTGAGTCTGCATATGGGGTTTGCCTCTGTGTGTATGTGCTTGTGTGTGCATGCATGTGGCAGGGACCCTGAGAGGCAGCACAGCACACACAGTGGGTTGGGCTGGCCTCTAGACTCGGGCTACCCGCCTGGCTTCACGTGCCTGTCCCACCCCTAGTGCCTCCTGCATACTGGGCAAGTCCCCTAACACCTCAATGGTTGAGGTTCCACATCAGCTCTTGTCCCCTGGTGAAGTGCTTGGGGACCTGATGGCCTGTAAGTTCCTTGCTGTGGCCAGGGCCCTTTTGATCTGTACCTGCTGCCCTCAGCAGTGTGACAGGGATCTGCCCGTTATTTTGGTGGGGCTGTTGAGGACAAGCCCCTCTCCTCATTGTCTCTCCCTCGGCCTCTCCCAGAATCCTGTGAACAGAGTTTGGCACATGTGAAGTGCTCACTCAGAGTGACCCACTTCACTCCGTGTCCATTGGGCGATATCATCTTGGTCTCTGGTGGTTGTAACTTTGAATACCCACGTTATCTGACAGGCAGGCCTTGGTTTGTGGAAGGAAAAACGTCTCTGGGCTCCACCCTTTGTGCACAGGGCTCGTTGACATTGGGGAAACTTTGCAGTGTCCAGAAAACTTAGCTCCCGATGAGGTGGTGGAACTGGAAAATCAAGCCGTGCTGACCAGCCTGAAGCAGAAGTTCCTGACGGTGCTTCCAAACCCCAGGTGGCTGCTGGAGCCCATCTCCAGGAAAGGCGGAAAGGATGTCTTCCAGGTAGACATCGCAGACGACCTGATCCCCTTGGGGGAGGAGGCCTGACGAGCGTGGGCTCCTCAGAGGAAGGTCACCGAGAGACCAGCGAAATCATGACCCAGCAGCTCATTGTCACACGGTGGACGTGGAAATCGGGTTCGGTGTGGATTGGCACCGCAGTGGAGCGTTCCCCACTATGTGCTGTTCACGTAAACAGCTTCTCCACTCAGATGCAGGGACGGGGAGCGGGACTTTCCTTGCAAGATGCCTCTCTGGGCTCAGTGACAGTCTCAAGGACTTTGACTTTCAGGAAAAAGGGAAAGGTGCCAGGGAATTCTTTGCGCTGCCACTCATTTTGGTCCAGCTAATTTCTGGATTGACCAAAGAAATACATTTTAAGAGGACTCGTTATTGTTCTCCCCCCTCTTTGTTCTGGTCAAACTCATAGAGTGTTTGCACAGCATCCAGGGGACCTTGTGCAGAGGCTGGGAGCGGGCGCTGAGTGATTGCTGGAGAGTGACCAGCCCTGGATGGCCTCATTCCTGATGAAGAGGACATCAGAGTTGGAAACAGAGCACTTGTCTGTCCTTGCAAAAGAATCTTCCTGTGTTATAAAAGTGTCCCTTGGCTCATGGAGCATGTGTGTTAGGTGTGTCTCACAGCTACTTCATGTGTGAAAAAAGGAGCCTAAATACAGCTCTTTCGGAAAAGTGATAAGTAGCGTTGTTTATTTTGTGGAAAATATTTTTTATTTCCTTCTTTTTTTTTTTTGGTCATTTATTAGGAAAGTTTCTAATGGTTGTTACCTATGAGCATGATGGGCTTTCCCCTAGGCAGTGACTGGAATGACCTGTCTCTTCTGAGCCAGACTGCAGTGGTCGGACATCCCTGGGCAAATGGGCTGGCCCTACTTTGGAAGGCCCCTGCCTCTTAGGCCAGGGACATTGAGCTGCTGATAAGAAACTCCCTGGCATCTTAGGGGGACCCATGAGGAAAGACCCTTCTGTTTCAAGATACATGAATAGTGTAAGGCGATAGCCCCAAGGTCACGAGTCAGGCTGTTCTGTGTCCTGACCACCAGGCCAGGCTCAGGGAACAAGATCTTCCTGGGCTTGCCTCGATACTCCCTAGCCAAGTCCTTGGCTGAATGTGTGAAAATGCTGGTTCTTCAAATCAAAGAGGACACCGGGGACCAAAGCCTGTTTGGGGCCCGGATTCCCAGCCTCCTCAGGCTTATCTGATGAGCTGTGTGTAGTATCGCAAGTTAGAAAGAACACCGAGTCACAATTCTCATTAGGTTGTTTATTTACTCCCTCAGAGTTTCGCATCATGGTTATAAATGGTGGTTTTTATCTGTCACTGGTGATCTGTGAGTTTAGGGACCTGGATTGTCCTTGCAGTGCTGACAAACTACACATTTGTAAACTGAGGAGCCCTTGTGCTCCTCGTCCTCGTCAGGGGCCTCATTTGAGGACATCACTGAAAGGGCAGCCAGCAGGATGGAATAACAGGTGTTGTATAAGGACATCACCGAATCATGATCTGGGTAATGTGGGGGGCTGGTGGGTGGTTCCCCTGCGCCCTCCCTTCCAGCAGTAGCCAGGGGCACAAACATACTATTCCTGGACGTGCCCTCCCCACTTGGGCTGCCTGGCTCACTTCGGCGACCATTTTCCAGGGCACATCTCACAGAACAGATATCAGAACACAAGAACCACCAGGTGTCACTGGGTCCCTGAGCTTTTGGCACTTCCTTTTGGGCCTTTCTGTCAGCTGCTTTGGTGGGTTCATTGCGATGGATTCATGGGGAGCGCCTCGTAGCTGCTACCTGCTTCTTTCTCTTTGGAGTTGTTGTGCTGGTCCCAGGCCGAGCAATAATTCTCAGGTCGCCTCTTTTCTGAATGTTCTCAATGAGCAGAGGCTTGTCTCTCTGAAAGTTGGAGTTACGGTACATCTGAAATGAAATCAATCCTGTTAGTCATCCTGGGAGTAAATATTTCCCCCCCCCCCCAATCAGAATGGTCTTGTTTTCCTGGGGAGAAAAGATCTTTTTAACTTGCTGGCAAGTTTCATTTTGCCCTGGAGCCTGAGCTCACTCAACATACATAATGCCTAGGTTAAGGTGCACCTACTTGACATTAACTGACCTCTCAGTCTTTCATCACACCTGCAGATTACCTCTGAGGGGGTTGTCATTTCATAGGAGCAACTATACCTTCTCATCTTTCCACGTGAAAAAAGTTATCCTCATAAATTAAACCCTTTCAGTGCATCATTCATCTTGGTCTACTAGGAAGATGTTCGAGGGATGGAGAACATGGGAAACAGAAGGACGTTCTACTTTACCATCATTCTCTTGTTCCCTGGAGAGTGAAGCGAAGGGTCGTTTGGACGTATTTTGCTGAAGCCGTAGAGGTTCAGTTGGCGGATAAAACTCTTCAAGCTGTCTGTTTCAAAAATTCTCCTTGGGCCTCTCTGGTGAAGAATCTCCCTTTGGAAAAGATCCTCTTCAATGATCACGATGTCTCCCTCGTCATTCCAGCGTGCAGACGTGAAAGCGTCGTCCTCAGCTACCATCCAAAGCTTTCTTGGGAAGGAGAGCCTGAGAAGATTGTTTTCTTCCATGTGGATGGCGGCTTGGTTTGGGTCCTGTGGTCGCTGGTTGTCTCAGGGGCCTGGATCTTGGCTCATGGCTTGGTCACTGTGGGTCTCCAAAATCTCCCTTGAATCCAAATTTGGATCCAGGGATGAATTAGATGGGACCCCTGTTGCTAGCTCTCGGTCACCTGATGGGGCCTGCTTGACTTGATATATCTGGTTGGTACTCTGACTAGTCATGGAGCTAGTCTAGGTCAAGAACATTTTCTATCTGAGATCGTATCCCTGAACTCTCAGGTCAGAAATGCCTTTGGTCAGGGTGGGGATGCCCGGTAAATACTGTCCACAAAATTCTGGAGTCTCGGTAGTGGGGCAACCAGCTGCTTACGTCATCGTTCTCTTAAGTTGTCACATGATGTCACAAGGGTGGCTCACAGCTGGTCTGAAGAGGGAGCCCTGGCCAAGTGTGGAGGAGGGGAGGGGTGCAGGGTCCCAGCTTCTCTCTTTTCTAAAAGGAGATAAACGTGTGATTCATGTTCTCAGAAAAGGCTCCCATCAGTCGCCAGGCACATTGTTTCATGAGTCCAGGCCCTGGATGGGTTGAGAAAGCATGATCCTATCTCCAATCCCACCCCTAAAGACGGGGAGGGGGCCTGTTGCTGACCCCTCTGATGTGCTCAAGGGCCAGGCTCTGGTTAGTCCTAGCTTGGTTCCCACCAAGACTAGGCGGGTCTGATGGGCCCCTGGGGTACCGTGCCTCCCAGCAGACAGTGGTCCCTAACAGGCAGATTTCCCTAGTCTAGGTTGATAGCCCCCTCCTTCCTCCCACCCCCACTTCCTGCTTTGGTCTTTTCCAGCTGCTCCTGCCAGTTGGTTGGTCCTGCACCGATGGGCCCAAACAAGCATTCCTGTTTTCTTGCTCGTGGCTCAAGTTGTCCCCAGAGTAGTGCTGTGATGGGGCACAGTGGGAGTGCTTCTGATGTTCCTCAACCTCAGTGTCACCCAAAGCATATCAGATAGTGTTACCCACAGCACCGGTGTGGCAGTGGATGGCCGTATTTTCCACTGTGCTTGGAAAGGAGTCTCCTCTTGAGCTCTGCTTGCCCCCAAATCTCATCCCTCTCCAGATAACAGTGCGATTGTCTTTAGTTTCCATTTCTTCCCCATAGAAACTTCTGGTTGCCCTGGACGGGCTCTCTTTGGGAACATCTGCATCTGCCCTTTTCAAATCACCTTCCCCAGCTGCTTGGATACAGCCTCCCTGAAGGCTGCCTCTGAAGCCCTGTTTCCTTTCTTCCCTAGAGTGGTTTGGCCTCTGCTCTCCCAGATTTCTGGCCTCCCACTTCCAAATTGGATCTCCTCTGGTACTTCCCCTTTTAATTCCTTAATTTGGGGAGTTCAGCACCTATTCTGTTCTGTTGAGACAAAGCATTTCACTCACCTACGCCCCTGAGCCAGCCCTGCTCTCCTTGCTCCAAGCCCACCCCCACCCCCCACCAATGTGTCCCTCCCCTGCCATTACCTGGATGGTAGGTCCATTGAATATTTTGTCTGCTCTGGGGTTAGATACTTTTCAAAGGGCCTCCTTTACACAGACTCACTCCCAAGGAAAATTCCTACTCGTTTAGCTGGACGTGAGTAAAGGATGCCAACCGAAGATACCCATCATTGTGTATGTAAAAATAGATGAGAGTCTGGATGTGGAATGGGATAAAACCCAAGTGAAAGTCATCCTCACCACAGAGGAGAGGATACGACAGTGAATTTGGTGATATGTGTTCTCTAGCTGTTGTGGACAACTTCATTCTTAATATTCACTCTGCATCTGGAGATAGAGTGGTACCATGGGAAGGCCCCGCCTTCAAGGATCCTAGGTCCTTGTTCTGGCTGCCACTGAGTAGGGTCATTTGCCCTCTCTGAGGGTCAATTCTTTGTTTGTAAATGGGGAGTGCAAAGAGTGTTTGAAAGAGAATCTCCCATGTTACCTTTCAGTCTGGGGACTGCAATCCTTAATGGAGCCCCCAGGTCTACATTTGGGCTTGGTCTGTGGTCTTTGTGCTTCTAAACAGGTTTCCATAGTGTTCATTGAAGAAGTCAGTTTATCCTGTAGGGACATGCCCTCAGAGGCTAAGAATTTAAATGGCGGCCATTGGTGGCTTCTCAGAAGGGGGCTCCTAGAGCCTTTGGATGAACAGCCAGCTTCCTTCAGTTGTACACCAGAGTATTTTGCCTCAGTGAGTTCTGTAAAGACTGAGAATGAAATTTCCTTGTGGCCTGTGCTAGCTCATGAACTCGGCTGATGACTTACACAAAGGGATTGGGCTGTTTGGTGGGAGAGGAGAAAATGTCTTAGAAAACCACAGTCTGGCATCCTGCAGAGAACCAGTATTTACTTGATGTGATCTAGGCACTCTTACATCCTAAGTCTTATGTAGGCCCGTTAGCTCATGTTCCTTGTTTTAGGAGTCACCGAATTTCTGCTAGGGTTGAGATTCTAGGACATGAGGCTCATCTTGTCCTCTGAAGATGGAATACTCACAATGCTGACTTCAGTGTAGTTGATGAAAGGCGTTGTGGAAACGGCTTCTGTCGACTAAGCCTTCTCATTCCCAGATTTTCAACCCTGGGCCCTGTGGCCACCATTTTGACAATCTTTATTAGATACCTGCTGTGCTCACGACCCTTTGAGAGAAATGATTGGTTGGCTCTTCAGTGCTCCAGAGGCCCTAGAGATGACCCACAGGTGTCGCTGCCTTATGGACCAAAGCCCCACAGTCAGGTGACTCTAGCAGAGCACAGCTGATTGGCCTCTGAGGACAGCCACCCCAAAGGGAAAGTGATTTCAGTCTGGACTTGCTGTGGGTTCTGCGTAGCCTGCAGCCATGGAGAAAGTGCCTAGTTTTGGCCTGTGAGGCCTAAGGCCTGGGGCCGCCAAGGGGCAAGCCTGGCTGTGTGACCTTTTGTGCCTCCCCCTCCTTCTGGCCCCCCTCACCAACTGGATCCTGGTGGGAGCCTCCTTACTGCCCTCCCTCCCTCGGGCACCAGCCATGACCTTGCAGTTGGTTTGCCTCGCACCCAAGGGGTCTTTTCTCAGCCATGGCTCAGACACAGGCCCTGGTGACATCAAGGCCTGCCCTTTCCAGCCTCTTGGCCACTGCACTCCTCTTACCCACTCAGGTGTCCACCAGCCCAGAGGCCCTGCAGCCGCTTTTGCTCACCATCTCCTGGGCTCCAGCCACGGGCTGGCTCCACTGGGCCCCTGGGGCTATTGTCTGACACGCGGGGAGCTCCTGTTAGGAAGTGTCCTCCTGCTGCCCCCTCTATGGCAATGCTCTTTGTCCAGATGCCACTCAGCTTGTCATGGTCCCTCTCCAAGGCCTCCTCAGTAAGGCCTTCCTCCTATACCAGGTCCCCCTCACAGCTCCTTACTTGGGGTTCCCATAGCCTAGCTGCCATGTCCAGTCCCAGTCGGAGTGCCCCTGCCCCACTGTGATGTTGGGTGTGTCTGTCTCCCCCTCCAGACTAGGAAGGAGGACCCTGAGCATGGCAGAGACCATGATGTGAACCCGGTCCCAAGTATACATGTTGGAATGAAGGAAGTTCTGTGTCACCAGGAGGTGCATGGGGTTTAGCGTCCTTGAACACAGCTGTGCATTGTAGCAGCAATGATAAGAGCAGTCATGGAGGGCTCCTGCGTTATAGTGGCTGTGCGAATGCTCTGAGAGTCTGTGCCATTTGCTCTTCAGCACAGTCCCTGGGCAGGTACCTGGAAAGGCCCAGCCTTGGTCATGGCAGGTGGAGTCACGGGCCCAGCTTTCACCCTGAGGAAGAAGTAGAGCCGCAATGGGGCCCAGAGCCTCACCCCGGAGGGAGGCCTTCTCTCTGCCATGAAGCCACCTGCACACTGCAGGACAAGCAGCAAAGGAGAGTCTTTGTTGTCTGGTGACATCTCATTCTGTAGTGCTCCAAGGCTAAGGGCACGCCAGGGAACGTGTCCTTAGAGGCTAAAAATGGCACGGGGACCATTGGATGAAATGTGCCTTTTTAAACGAGCCACATGCAAGCCTTGTTAGCAGTCTGCCTCCCCTCCTTGCCTTAGACAGGGAGGCCTGGATTCTAGGGACTTCCACGAGCCTTACTCTCCTTTAGGGACGTTACCCCGGTAGGAATTGTGGCGTTAAAGTCAGTCTCAACCAGTCTCTCTCTCGTGTAAACTCTCTGAGGATTGGAAACAGAACAAGTCTTCTGATGATTCTTGCTTATTGGAGCCCCTGGAAAAAGGAAGACAACATGGGAAAGAGAGGCAGTCTCCACATAGAGACAGACTTGTAGAGCTTTAAAAAGCAGCGTTCAGGTCGTGTTATACAAGCGAGCCAAAGATGGATGACCTGTGTGTATGGGACCCTAGGTTGTATATTTCTTGACAGCAGTCTGAGTCCTTTTGGCTTAAAAACCTGCCAAGCCCCAACCCAAATTTTCACATATGTCCGATTGTTTCACACAGTGCTCGTACTAGTGGACTTTTGGCCTTTTACAACCTGCCAAAAGTCAACCCACATCTGCTAAGAATAGATAAGATACAGCCTTGTGGTCCTAAGACCCCAGGCCACTCCCCGAGCTGCTGAACGACATTGCTTTGACATGTGGGCTGCCTCTCCGATGCCTCTCTCCCAACAGCTCCCTTGCCTTCCCCCCTTAGCTCGATCTGGCAGCTGTAACAAAATACCACAGACTGGGTGGCTTATAAACAACAGAAATTTATTTCTCTCCATTCTGGAGGCTGGAACTCCAAGATGAAAACACCAGCATGGTGGGGTGAGGGCCCTCCTCCTTGTCCCTAGCCGTCACCTTCTCACTGTGTCCTCACAGGGTGGAAGGGGCTGGGGATTCTCTCTGGGGCCTCTTATACAGGATGACTCCCATCCATGGGGGCTCTACCTTCATGACTTAAGCACCTCCCAAAGGCCCCACCTCATAATGCCATCAGCTTTGGGGGTTAGGGTTTCAACATATGCATTTGACGGGACAGAAACATTCAGACCATAGCACTCCCCTTCTGATTGTGCCCTCCTGACCCTTAAACCCCAGGATGATTTCATGCTGTGAGGGACTCCCCTCTAATACAACCCTTTTGAGGCACCACCCAGTAAAGCTTGTGTTGTGTTGCTGCCTCTCCTGGTCATCTCTTCTTCCTGGGTCAGCCTCCAATCCCTCGAACCCCCTACAGTTGGCTAATGAGCTCTTGTGAAATCATGTGTCTGACCCTTAGAGGCTGATGATTATCCGACCTGAGGTGTGTTTTTCAGGCGTCAAGTGGGAGGGACTCTAAGGCTGACAAGGAAGAATGGGATTAGGAAAGCATTGCTTGTCACTTGGACTTGGACCCCCCGCTGTCTGGCCTTGTAGCGCCATGCCTTTCCTGCTGCCGCAAAAAAGCCACTGACTTTTTTTTGGACCCCAAACCCACAAATCCTAATTGATCAGTTTTAACTCTAAGCTGAAACCTGAAACTGTCCATGATGGGCTGTTTCGTCCCCAGCACGAGCTGTGTTGAACGGAAAGTGGGCCAAACTCAATGAACAGGTCTTGGGCTCTGGGACTGTTGCCGATTTGGGACACCCCTCTGTGGGGTCTGAATCTATCAAAGTATCTTGAGTGCTGTCCTGCACAGTCTAGGTCTTTTTTTTTTTATTATTAAGGTTATGAAAGTTAACATCCTTGTGAAATTACAGTTGTACATCATTATTAGTCATGTTGTAGGTACACCACTTCACCCCTAGTGCTCTCCCCCAACCCCCCTTTCCCCTGGCAACCACCGATCAGTTCTCTTTGTCCATATGTTAACTACCACCTATGAGTGGAGTCGTACAGAGTTCGTCTTTCTCTGTCTGACTTATTTCACTCAACATAATACTCTCAAGGTCTATCCATGTTGTTGTGAATGGGACGACTTTGTCCTTTTTTATGGTTGAGTAGTACTCCATTGTATATATATACCACATCTTCTTTATCCAATCATCAGTTGCTGGGCACTTAGGTTGGTTCCATGACTTGGCTATTGTGAGTAATGCTGCGATGAACATAGGGGTGCATGGAAGTTTTGGAATTGCTGATTTCAGATGCTTAGGATAGATACCCAGTAGTGGGATGGCTGGATCATAAGGTATTTCTATTCTTAACTTTTTGAGGAATCTCCATACTGTTTTCCATAGTGGCTGCACCAAGTTTGCATTCCCACCAACAGTGTATGAGGGTTCCCTTTTCTCCACAGCCTCTCCAACGTTTGTCACTCTTGGTTTTGGATATTTTTGCCATTCTAACAGGTGTAAGGTGATATCTTAGTGTAGTTTTGATTTGCATTTCCCTGATGATTAGTGATGATGAGCATCTTTTCATGTGTCTATTGGCCATCCATATATCTTCTTTGGAGAAATGTCTGTTCATATCCCTTGCCCATTTTGTAATTGGGTTGTTTGATTTTTTATTGTTGAGTTGTGTGAGTTCTTTGTATATTATAGAGATTAACCCTTTGTTGGATAAATAACTTGTGAATATTTTTTCCCAATTAGTGGGCTGTTTTTTTGTTTCAATCCTGTTTTCCCTTGCCTTGAAGAAGCTCTTTAGTCTGATGAAGTCCCATTTGTTTATTCTTTCTATTGTTTCTCTCATGTGAGGGGTTATGGTGTCCAAAAAGATTCTTTTGAAGCTGATGTCAAAGAGTGTACTGCCGATATTCTCTTCTAGAAGACTTATTGTTTCAGGCCTAATCTTTAGGTCTTTGATCCATTTTGAGTTTATTTTAGTAAATGGTGAAAAATAATGGTTGATTTTCATTCTTTTACATGTGGCTGTCCAGTTTTCCCAGCCCCATTTGTTGAGGAGACTTTCTTTCCTCCATTGTAGGCCCTCAGCTCCTTTGTCAAAGATTAGCTGTCCATAGATGTGTGGTTTTATTTCTGGGCTTTCAATTCTGATTGATCTGTGCATCTGTTTTTGTACCAGTACCATGCTGTTTTGATTACTGTAGCTTTGTAGTATGTTTTGAAGTCAGGGATTGTGATGCCTCCAGCTTTGCTCTTCTTTCTCAGGATTGCTTTAGCAATTCGGGGTCTTTTGTTGCCCCATATGAATTTTAGGATTCTTTGTTCAATTTCTGTAAAGAATGACATTGGAATTCTGATTGGGATAGCGTTGAATCTGTAGATTGCTTTAGGTAGTATGGACATTTTAACTACGTTTTTTCTTCCAATCCATGTGCATGGAATGTCTTTCCAACTCTTTATGTCATCGTCGATTTCTTTCCAGAAGGTCTTGTAGTTTTCGTTGTATAGATATTTCACTTCCTTGGTTAAATTTATCCCAAGGTATTTTATTCTTTTTGTTGCAATCGTGAATAGGATTGAGTTCTTGAGATCTTTTTCTGTTAGTTCATTGTTAGCATATAGAAATGCTACTGATTTATGTATGTTGATTTTAAATCCTGCAACTTTGCTGTAGTTGTTGATTGTTTCTAATAGTTTTTCTATGGATTCTTTGGGGGTTTCTATATATAAGATCATGTCGTCTGCAAACAGCGAGAGTTTTACTTCTTCATTGCCTATTTGGATTCCTTTTATTTCTTTTTCCTGCCAAATTGCTCTGGCCAAAACCTCCAGTACTATGTTGAATAAGAGTGGTGAAAGTGGGCACCCTTGTCTTGTTCCTGTTATGAGAGGGATGGCTTTTAGTTTTTGTCCATTGAGTATGATGTTGGCTGTGGGTTTGTCATATATGGCCTTTATTATGTTGAGGTACTTTCCTTCTATACCTATTTTATTGAGGGTTTTTATCATAAATGGATGTTGGACCTTGTCGAATGCTTTCTCTGCATCTATTGAGATGATCATGTGGTTTTTGTTTCTCATTTTGTTAATGTAGTGAATCACGTTGATTGACCTGAGGATGTTGAACCATCCCTGTGTCCCTGGTGTAAATCCCACTTGATCATGGTGTATAATCTTTTTGATATATTGCTGTATTCGGTTTGCCAAAATTTTGTTGAAGATTTTTGCCTCTATGTTCATCAGTGATATTGGCCTGTAGTTTTCCTTCTTTGTGTTGTCCTTGTCAGGTTTGGGGATCAGGGTGATGTTGGCTTCATAGAATGTATTAGGGAGTGCTCCATCTTCCACTATTTTCTGGAATAGTTTGAGAAGGATAGGTATTAAATCTTCTTTGAATGTTTGGTGGAATTCTCCAGAGAAGCCATCTGGTCCTGGAATCTTATTTTTGGGGAGGTTTTTGATTACTGTTTCTATTTCTTTACTTGTGATTGGTCTATTCAGATTCTCTATTTCTTCCTGATTCAGTTTGGGTAGGTTGTATGAGTCTAGGAATTTATCCATTTCTTCTAGGTTGTTCAATTTGTTGGCATATAGTTTTTCATAGTATTCTCTTATGATCCTTTGTATTTCTTCGGTATCTGTTGTGATTTCTCCTCTCTTGTTTCTAATTTTATTTATTTGAGACTTCTCTCTTTTTTTTTTTACTGAGTCTGGCTAAGGGTTTGTCAATTTTGTTAATTTTTTCGAAGAACCAACTCTTTGTTTCATTGATCCCTTCTACTGTCTTTTTTGTTTCAATATCATTTATTTCTGCTCTAATTTTTATTATTTCCCTCCTTCTACTGACTTTGGGCTTTGTTTGTTCTTCTTTTTCTAATTCCGTTAGGTGTCATTTGAGGTTGTTTATGTAAGATTTTTTTGCTTATTGAGGTGAGCCTGTATTGCAATGAATTTCCCTCTTAGGACTGCCTTTGCTGCGTCCCAAATCATTTGGTATGGTGTGTTTTCATTTTCACTTCTCTCCAGATAATATTTGTTTTCTTCTTTAATTTCTTCAATAATCCATTGTTTGTTCAGTAGCATGTCGTTTAGTCTCCACATTTTTGGCCCTTTCCCAGCTTTATTCTAGTTTCATAGCATTATGATCAGAAAAGATGCTTGATATTATTTCAACCCTCTTGAACTTATTGATGCTTGCTTTGTTTCCCAAGATATGGTCTATCCTTGAGTATGTTCCATGCGCACTTGAGAAGAATTTGTAACCTGCTGTTTTTGGATAAGTGTCCTATATGTATCTATTAGGTCCATCTGATCTAATTTTTCATTTAATTCTATAATTTCCTTGTTGATTTTCTGTCTGGATGATCTGTCCATTGGTGTTAATGGGGTTTTCAGGTCCCCTACTATTATTGTATTGCTGTTGATGTCTCCTTTTAGTTTTGTTAATAGTTTCTTTACAAATTTTGGTGCTCCTGTGTTAGGTGCATATATATTTATAAGTGTTATGTCATCTTGGGGGAGTGTCCCTTTTGTCATTATATACTGCCCCTCTTTGTCTTTCTTTATCTGTTTTGCTTTGAAGTCTACTTTGTCTGATATAAGTATGGCAACACCTGCTTTCTTTTGTTCATTATTAGCTTGGAGTATTGTCTTCCATCCCTTCACTTTGAGTCTGTGTTTGTCTTTGGGGCTGAGGTGTGTTTCCTGGAGGCAGCATATTGTTGGATCTTGTTCTTTGATCCATCCTGCCACTCTGTGCCTTTTGATTGGAGAGTTCAAACCATTCATGTTTAGAGTGATTATTGAAACATGGGGGCCTACTGTTGCCATTTTATCACTTGTTTTCCAGTTCTTTTGCATTTTGTCCTGATGGAGAGCTGTTACTTTGTGTTATTGTCCTTCTGCTTATCTCCTTTGTTCTGGATTTTGTAACCCCTTTCCTTTTTTTGATTTTTCAGGCATGAGGTTCTTCCTGAGCATTTCTGGAAGAGGAGGTTTTGTGGCGATGAACTCCCTTAACTTTTGTTTATCTGGGAATGTTTTTATTTCTCCATCATATTTGAAGGATATTTTCACTGGGTAGAGTATTGTTGGCTGCAGGTTTTTGTCCTTCTGAGTTTCGAATATTTCATTCCAATCTCTTCTAGCCTGTAAGGTCTCCCCTGAGAAATCTGCTGATAACCTTATGGGGTTTCCTTTGTAGGTTATTTTCTTTTGCCTGACTGCCCTTTGTATTTTCTCTTTGTCATTGACTTTTGCTAGTTTCACTACTATATGCCTTGGGGTTGGTCTTCTTGTGTTAATAAAGTTTGGAGATCTATTGGCTTCTGTCACCTGAAGTTCCATCTCTCTTCCCAAGTTTGGAAAGTTCTCAGCTATTATTTCTTTGAACAGGCCTTCTGCCCCCTTCTCCTTCTCTTCTCCCTCTGGTATACCTATAATCCTTATGTTGCATCTCCTAATTGAGTCGGATAGTTCTCGGAGAGTTTCTTCATTTCTTTTTAGTCTTAGTTCTCTCTCCTCCTCTGTCTGCAGCATTTCTATATTCCTATCCTCCAAATTGCTAATTCTGTCCTCCATATTATCGACCCTACTGTTCAGAGAGTCCAGATTTTTCTTAATCTCCTCCATTGTGTTCTTCATCTCCAGTATTTCTTAGCTCTTCTTTATAGTGTCAAGCTCTTTTGTGACATAGCTCTTGAACCCATTGAGTTGTCTATCTGAATTCTCTTTTAACTTGTTGAGTTTTTTAATAATGGCAGTTTCGAAATCATCGTCATTTAGGTTATAGATTTCATTGTCTTTGGGATTGTTTTCTGTGTGCCTATCATTTTCCTTCTGTTCTGGAGATTTAATATATTTTTTCATACTGCTAGATGGCGTGGATTTGTGCCTCCGCATAGAGATAGAGTTTAGTTGCTGCTTCCACTTGTTGCGACTGGTGTGTGTGTGGGGGGGCAGCTGTTTAGACTGCACCAACCAGGAACCCTGTCAGCTGTTACTGACTGGACCTGGACCCCTCCTCATAGTCACAGTGGTCCTGTGGGGGTCCCTCGTCGGTTGTGGGGGCAATTGCAAGGGGGCCTCAGGCTGCTGGTGCCTACTGTTGCAGCCCACTTAGACGCAATCCCTCCTTGTGGTCTGCAGCAGTGTTGTGGGCTTCCCCAGCAGCCAGGAGCAGGATCACCTATAATTGCCGCTTTGTCCCTAATACAGCTCACAAGATCACACTTGTCCACTCTAGGTCCCGCCAGAGGTATGGGTATCTTCTGCAGTCTGTGTTTAGCTCACCTAGCTGTGCTACTTTTGCCCCAGGGCCTTCCCGCCTTGCAATTGCCAGTCGGGACCTCTCCACTAGTGCTGTGCAGAGGCTTTCGCTGAGGCTGCTGTAGGAACCTGGCGTTCCCCCTGGGCTACATAGCCGTTTCACCGGAGTGCCACTCTGCGCCCCTCCACTCTCACAGGATCTCTGGGAGCCCCTTGCCTCATCTGGGACATGGCCAGAGTCTGTGGGCCTGGTGGTGGCTTGTAAGCTGCTGCCTTGTGGGGAATTCTGCTCTAGGGAGCTTCCTGGTGTTCCAAATGCTGGGCAGGGCCTCCCTGCTAATGGCGAGCAGAGGCCCTCCCTGCTGGGAGGGGGGGGTGCTGGACGCTGGAGCGTCCCGTGGGGCCGCAGAGCCGGGTGTTGGAGCTCCACCAAGTCCCCAAGCATGTCCACGGGAAGTCCGGGCACCCTCTGCATGCACCAGAGTCCATGGGCCCCAGCAGCAGCTGGCAGTCTGGTGCAGTGCCAGGGAATCAACCCACTGGGAGCTTCCCTTTGTTCTGGATTCTGGGAGGGGCCTCCCAGCTAATGGCAAGCAGAGGCTTTCCCTGATGGGGGGGTGTGGGACCCTGGAGCCTCCCCCAGAGCTGCAGAGCCTGGCGCTGGAGCTCCAACCCTGTCCCCAAGCACGTCCATGGTAAGTCCGGGCGCCCCCTGCAACAACCTGTGCGCTGGAGACTGTGGGCCCAGCAGCAGCTTGCAGTCTGGTGCCATGCCGGGGAATCTGCCCACCGGGAGCTTCCCGTTGTCCTGGATTCTGGGCGTGGTCTCCCTGCCAATGGTGAGCAGAGGCTTTCCCTGCCAGGGAGGTGCTGGACCCCGGAGCCTCCCCCCGGCCACAGAGCTGGGCGCTCGACCTCCAACCATGTCCCCAAGCACATCCACAGGAAGTCCGGGCGCCCCCTGCAACAACCTGTGTGCCGGAGACTGTGGGCCCAGCAGCAGCTTGTGGTCTGGTGCCGTGCTGGGGAATCTGCCCACAAGGAGCTTTCCTTTGTTCTGGATTCTGGGCAGGGCCTCCCTGCTAATGGCGAATGGAGGCCTTCCCTGGCAGTGGGTGCGGGACCCTGGGGATTCCCCCTGGGCTTAGGTGTAATCGTGGGGGGCTTGAGTAGGGCTGTTGTCACCTGTTTCCACGGTCACTCCACTGGTGAGTGCACACTCCTGCCCTTGGTGTGTGGCGATGCTATGGGGGAGTCCGCTGGAAGAGAGCCTCCTGCAGGAACTAGGCTGTCAAGGGGTCGGGGGTCGGGGGTCGGAGAGTTATCACCTATTTCCACCTCCTCCCGGGGGGAAGTCTGTCCGCCTTCCAATGTATAGTAGCACAAGACTCTTAGGCATCTTGAGATGCTATCTGGATATCCTTTGTTAATCGGTGAATGTCCAATTAGTTGTAGATTCGACGGGGGAGAGACAAAGAAGACCACTCACTCTGCCATCTTGGTCCCGCCTATTAGCACACTCTTATTGCGATTGTCTTCTTAATTGGGTTGGTACCCAGTGTAGCTGGTTGCTAGGCTCAGGGGCGTACAGTTGTGATAGGCCTGAGGCCAACAAGGCTGATGTCAGTTCTCTTAGGAGTGCAGCTGAGTAGGGCTAGCCCTTGGCATGGAGGCACTCAGTTGTTTCCCAGCTTTTCTCTTTTTGTGAGGACAGGGGTGATGACTTCCAAGCTCTTTACATGCCAGAGCAGAAACCAGAAGCCTCCAATGAAGGTTTTTTGACTTTGAAAGGTGATGTCAAGGCACCTTGTATACGAGCAAGCATGATCCAGTAGAGAGCAGAGATTAGATGATGCAGGAGAAAGGGGAGAATTTCAAGAGAAAACTTCTTGAGAAAGACTGAGCTTTAGTGTCTGAAATAGGACCCTTGCAGGAAGCTTGTTCCCCTGCAAGAGGATTAGGGACAGAGAATGTAGATATCTTGGTGGGATCATTGGTGGGAGGAAGAGAGAAGTGCCATCGATAGCTTCCCTTTCCCTTATGAAATATGTGGCAAAGTCATCAGGCAGAGGTGGAGGGCAATGTGCACTGGAGACTCAAGGAGAGAGAAAGGTTTGAAATAGCTCCCTCTCACCATGAGGAAGCAAATTCACTAGAGCAGTGAGTAGGTCTTCTGGGGTTGCTGGGCTTTGTGTTCACATATTTGAAGCAGTCCTAAACTTGTCAGAGGTGTATTTTTTCCTTGAAATGGGGACTTTCATCTGCTCAGGTGCCATCGTGGAGAAAGTTGCTAATTAGGTTTACCAGTGTTGGGGGTGTTTGCAGAGGTGGATCACCTTGGCTAAGGTGTTTTTACAGCTGGATCGCCTCTACAGCTGTTGCAGTTGCCCAGAAGAAAGGCAGCAGTTGTAGTGGTGAAGAAGACAATGACCCAGATATTCTACACAGTGCTGAAGATGGGTGGTGGTGATAGGAGGGTAGCAGGGAGTATATTCTGATAACCGTGTCCTTTTAAGGAACCAGGGGCCTGTAGAAAGAAGGAGGAGGAACAGTGTGGAAGAGGCAATGAGAAGCAGGGGGCACACCCACCCCTACTCCAGGCCCTAGTGTGTGAGAGGGTGAGGTGGTGGGAGACAAAACAGCTGGCCCTTGAGAGGGCTTTGGGCTGTCTTGGTTGAGGGTAGGCCAAGCCAAGGCAACAAAGGCACCACGGCATGTGAAATGGTGTAACCACAATGGAAGTTCATTTTTCATTCCAGGAACAGTCAAAATTGGGTGTTCCTACGCAGGAGCCGTGCTCCATTTAGTGATCTGTCCCAGGGTCTGTCTGTCTTGAGGCCCTGCCAGGAAGCCCTGGTGACTCATCATCTGCATCCAGGTGACAGAAGAGGAAAGCAAGAGTGAAGGAGGTATGGAAACTTCTTAACCCTTGGCCAGGACATGGCACACTTAACTTCCACTCAGTCTGATTGGCTGGGACTCAGCCACATGGCCACACTCGACTGCAAGGCAAGATGGGAAATGGAGTCTACCTTCGTGCTCAGGGAGAAAAGGAGCCTTCACGTTTCAGGGAAGAGCTGGCAGTCTCTGCCAACAGGTGGAGCACGTACCCCAGGAAGCTGCCAGGTTCAGTAAAAGAGGAAACCTTGAGGGAAGAAGTGGAGGTTGGGAGGGTTTTCTCGCCACTGAATCGTGGTGTTTCCCTAATGGGGATTCTCTATTTCCCTCATTCCTTCTAGACTTCTACACGTATTAATGAAGAACAGGTTGGTGGTTGCCAGGGGTACAGAGGAGGAGGTGGCTGTGGGAAGGAAGTGGATGTGTCTATAAGAGGGCAACATGTGGGATCCTTGCGGTGATGGAAATGTGCTGTATCTTGACCGAATTGCAGTCAGCATCTCCATCATGATACTGTACTATGGTTTTGCAAGATGTTATCATTAGGGGAAGCTGGCTAAAGGGTACACGGGATGTATTGCATTATTTCTTACACCTGCGTGTGACTCTATGGTTAAGTCAAAAGTACAAGTTGGATTAGACAATTCTCTGCAAATGATGCCCCTCTTTATTGCCTGCACCAGAGGTGAACCACTCCCACAGTGCCACCCTTGGTAGCCAACTACTCCATTCCAAGTTTTCTTAGCAAGAAAGTGGCCAAATCAGTGTTGGATTGGTGGTGTCCAAAGACTGTCGTTTTAGTGCTTCAGATTGCTCTCGGTGACTTTTAGTACAGCAAGGATTTTGGTCCTTATGAGCGCCTTACATCTTAGGACTGGATTCAACAAACACTACTATGAGGTAGGTGGCCTGCAGGCAATTACTTTGTGTGCCTTTTTGGAGACTGGCACTGCCACCCCACAGAGGACACCTCTCCCCAACTAGGTCCACACCCCTGCACACACACAGAGAAACACCAAGTCCTTTTCCTCTTCTCCCATGGGAAATTTGTGTTCAGTGCTGAGTCCTGACCCAGTCCTTATCCCCACTGTCAGGCTAACTGGACCTTCTGGTCTGACCCCCGACCCTGCAGGACTCACCTCCCTCCCCCTCACACACCTGCCTCTTCCCTTCCTTCCCGCTCCCCCCATGAGAGAACTTGCAGAGACACACACATTTTCACAACAGGTCCGTTTTATTGAAATCACCATCAGGGCACCCTGCTGCTGTCAAATGACGTCGGCACCACTGGCCATTTCTCAGGGGTCAGACGTTAGAGACTTCTCAGATGATTCCTCTCTGAGGTCTGTGGCCTCGCTCTGAAGTTGCCGGTGGTGCAGGTAGGCACGTGAAGTGCTGGGCTTCTCCATGCTCTCTCCGTCCGCCTCTGGCTCATCTTGATTCAGCTTTTCATTCAGCCTGTGATAGTGACCGAATAGGGTTGTTCCTCTCGCTTCCTTAGATTTGACTGAAGAGGTGGGACATTTTCTAGAGGCTTTTTTAGTGGATCTCCTTCGAAGGGGTCTTTTGGCCCCCGTGGTTTTCTTGGCCGCCTGGAAAGACAATAGGGTGAGCCCAGAAGGGCACTGGTTTGAGGGAAGAGGGTGGGGGATGGGTGGGAAGAGGGGCTTCCTGAGAAGGGATATGGGCTGAGGAGGGGCTGTGCGCCAGGCATGGACAGGGGAGGAGTCTTGGTGGGGGGAGTCAAAGGGGAAGAGGAGGAGCTTGGGCGGGGTCATCTCACCTTGACACTCCCTCTGGACCTGGGTTGACTTGAGGACTTCCTCATCTTCCTCTCTTTGGTGTTTGGCGAGGGTTGTTCCGTGACTGTGCTAGAAGCCTGGGATTTCCTGGTCGCCTTCGCCATGTCAGCGCCTCCCAGTGGTCTACCCCAGGCCTCCTGACCTGCCTATATACACCCCTCTATAGGACAGAGAGGGGCCACACCCTTCAGCTTTGTTTGGTCAGCAAGGCTCTCCTCCAGCCAATGGCAGCCGTGGGTTGGGCTTAGACATCACAAAGCTCCACCTTGACACCTCTGGGGGAGGATGGGGAGCAGCCAAGATGTTCTGGTTGGGGAAAGGGGGCACCGCTAAACAGCCTTCCAAACTGACCTGCCCCCCTCCTCATCTCCCCAGTCAATGCTGGTGGCTCACAAGGCAGGGAGAGGGTGTTTCCTCCAAACCTTTCCCCACAGCCACCCTATTCAGTGCTTCATTCTCTTCTTTCCCTCCCTTCACCGCTACCTAGTTTCTGTATGTCATGCCTACAATCCACCCATGGTGCTGTGGCTGTGTTTAAGTCTCTGTGGAGATGTGAATCATCCCGCTTCCTGATTACAAATTACTCTAATGCAGCTTGAAGACGATTCGCTTCTGCCAGGGTCCTTTTCCGTCCCACCTCCTTTTCTCAGGGTCCACATTGCTCTGCTCAGTTTTCTGTTTTCCAGTCGGAAATGTCTGCCTTCATCCTGTCAGACTTCCATGAACAGACTTGCTCCACTCAGAATCAAGTCCTGTTTCAAATCTGGGACCCATGCCCACCTCAGTAGGTGGCCTACCCAGGCTTGGGTTTTCATAGGGTCAGGGGGACGAGGCAGACACATGCTACAAGTTGTGCTGGATGTTTGTATGCAGGAAACTACAACCTAAGGCTGGTGAGTTCACGAGGGGGAGGGAGGCGTTCAACATTGTGCTTGGTGTCCAGTGCAACAAGGAAGAAAACGACATCCAGGCTGGAAAGGGAGAGGTAGCACTGTCTTTATTCACAGACCACAAGATAGTCTACACAGAAAATTCTATCAATCTAAAAAACAAAAAATGCTTCCAGAAGGAATAATTGAGTTTAGCAAGGTCTCAGGATATAAGATCAACATATAAAAATAAAGTGTATATTTATATACTAGCAATGAATAATGGAAAATTGAAATTAAAAACAGTGTGTTTTAAAACAGGATGAGAAAGCCTACAAATCTGACAAAATATGTAGAAGCTCTGTACATCAAAAACTACAAAACATTGCAGAGAGAGATTAATGAATACCTAAACATATGTAGGTATACGCCTTGTTTGTGGTTTGAAGGACTGGATATTGTTAAGACACCAATTCTTCCCCAGCTCATGATAGAGTCAACACAGTCCCAATAAGAACCCAGAAGACCTTTTTAAAAACAAGAAATTGACAGGCTGGTGTTCTGTAGAGTAAGCCCGAGGTGTATTTTTTTTTCTTTTTTGTTA